GAAGAGCTTTCTGTCTCCCCCTCCCACCCACACTCCATAACTCTGCGTTTTAAGCCAAATAAATAAAATCATTTTTTTAAAAAAGGGGGAGAGGGTAGAAGGCTAGCGCCATGGCAGCAGTCTAAGCTTCTGCCTGCAGTGCTGACATCCCTGATAGGTGCCAGTCTCAGTCCTGGCTGCTCCACTTCCAATACAGTTCCCTGTTAATGGCCTGAGAAAGCAGAGGAGGATGGCCCCAAGTTGTTGGGCCTCTGTATCCTTGTGAGAAACCTGGAAGAAGTTCTTGTCTCCTGATCTCAGCCTGGCCCAACTACAACATTTATGGCCATTTGGGGGAAAAGCCAGTTGATGGAAGATCTCTCTCCTTCTCGTTTTGTAACTCTGTCTTTCCAATAAAAATAAAACAAATCTTTAAATTAAAAAAAAAAAAGAGGGGGAGAGTCATAGTCTCAGCAAAAACAAGCCCATCAGAAAGGACTTTTTTTTTTCAAAGGGGCAGGGTGGTTATTTACTCAAAAAACAAGGCAGCATTACAGGCGGCAGAGACAGAGGGAGAGAGATGAGAGAGAATGAGATCTTCTGTCCAATGGCTGCAACAGCTGAAGCTGGATTGGTCCAGAGCCAGGAGCCAGAAGTTTCTTCCAGGTCTCCCACGCACATGGGCCACTACCCACTGCGTTCCTAGGCACATCAGCAGGGAGCTGGATCTGAAGTGGGGCACCTGGGACTCTGCACCCTTATGGAGTGCTAGCACTGCAGGCAGCAGCTTTACGTGCTATGCCGCAGCACCAGCCCCTAGAAAGAGCTCTCCCAAGTGAATGCCTGTAACTGGGTCATTTCTGTGATAGAACCTTGGTCTTGTCGGTTGCCTTTGGGCAAGATGCTCCCCAAAGTCCTGCTCCCCCAAAACTGTGGCAAGTACCCTGTGTGTCTTACAGCCTTGTCTGTAATGTATCTCACTGGGGTGTTCAAGATGGTTGATTTTCTTTGGCTAATTTTTAAAATTTATTTGGGTTTTTAACCCTGTTCATAGATATGATTAGGTTTTAAGCAGGCATCTTTCAGAATTAGCATATGAAAACATTCACATTTCACATCCTATTTCGTTTTTTGGGGGGGGGTGTTTTTGTGTTTTTTTGTCCTGGTTGAGAGCTGAATATTTTAAACAGAGCACCTCCAATCAGCATTTTTCCTGCCTTGACAATTCAATCCAGGAGGAGAAAAAAAAAAAACATGAGGGCTTAGATTGAGAGTGGCTTGGTAATGCGTGGGCTGGTCAGTATGAAAAGGGCCATTAGTCCGGACCAGCCGGCTCAGAGCTCCCATGGCAGGAAAGGGTGCAGTGAGAGATGAGGCTATTCAACAAACCATGGAGGATGGATTTCTTTCAGACCACACACAAGTTTGCTTAGAAGCTAAATGGGATCTCCTTGGTTACCGAAGAGGAAGAGGCTTGGATTGTTTACAGAGCTTATTAAGCACTAGTTCTATGCATATTGACATTTAGTTTAGTTTTTAGACTTTTTTAAAGATTTATTTATGTATTTGAAAGTGCAGCGTTAACAGAGAGAAGGGGAGACAGATCGCCCATCCCTGGTTCACTCCCTGGAGGGGGCTGGGCCGGGCTGAAGCCAGGAGCAGGAGCTTCGTCCGGTTCTCTCATGTGGATGGTAGGGGAGCTGGATCTGCAGGGAAGCAGCCAGGACTCAAACCAGGGATGTTTTTTGTTGGTTTGTTTTTATGCCTTTGCTACAAAAACAGTACCTAGATAGCTAACAGAAGATTAAAACTTGAATAAATCACTGGTGTTAGGCAACGTGGTTACAAACAACATAATGTTAGGCTGGCTCACTTAAGCCAAGGAACTGATCAGCAAATCGGGTTTCTCACAGCTCTGTGGGAAGGCGGAGGACCCATGCAGAGGCAGGAGTCTGGGGAGGAACTGGGCACAGCCAACACTTCTCCCCAGAAATGCTCTGGTAATGTCACTGCTGCCCTTGGCATCTCCAGGCAATCAGTTCTGATGTGGCATTTCAACTAGTGGCCCACCGGGCCTGTGTGTCCCACGCAGTATCCCAGCATGCTAACTAAGTCTGTGATGGTCCCACTCTCTATAGCTTTCTTAGGGAAGGTGCAGGGCATGGTAGGTAACACGCCTGTCCCATTTCAAGCTCCTGTAGTTGGCAGTGCAGCCACACCACTTAGCCATCTTGCAGTTCTCTGAGAAAAAAGGTCCTCTGGGTGAAGGGAAGCCAAAATAAGAAAGTTGACAGTGTCATTGAGGGGAAAAGGTATTGGGTAAAAAGTCACCATAGGTGAAGGAGATTTAAGTCATAGCTGAGAGCCATGTCTTTTTAGTCTGGCTGCAGTTAGCCAAGCTTTGGACAGATTGCTAAACACCCCTGGGGCCTGTGTGTCTTCGTGTATAAAGAGAGGGTTCTGATGACAACCTCAGCCTTATGGCTCCCAGAGCCTGCCTTCCAGGAATAAAATGAGAATAAAAGTCAGTTGCTGGAAACTGGCTGATCTCCAATAAGTACCTCTAACTGTTACCCATCTGAAGTAGGAGAATCTGAAAGCGGAATCTAACTGCTGTTAGAAAATAGTAATTGAAGCCCAGTGGTTAAAGTTCTCGCCTTGCATGTGCCAAGATCCCACACAGACGCTGGTTCATGTCCCGGTGGCCCCACTTCCCATCCAGCTCCCTGCTTGTAGCCTGAGAAAGCGGTAGAGAGGATGGCCCAAAGCCATGGGATCCTGCATCCACGTGGGAGACCCAAAAGAGGCTCCTGGCTTCGGTTCAGCTCAGCTTAGCTCTGGCAGTTGCAGCCGCTTGGGGAGTGAGCCAGTGGACAGATCTTTCTGTCTCTTCTTCTCTATATATATCTGCCTTTCTAATAAGTGTAAAATAAAAAAAAAAATAGTAGCAGTTGCAGGTGGAGAATAGGATTATGTACATTCTTAGGCGCCAACACCACCTTACTTGTAGCATCTCTTCAGTTCTGTTCCACACTGGGGGTGACTTTGGGGAACGTTTTGAGGTTCTGAGAGGTAGAGACGCTGCTGTTGTGAGGGCTCCTGAGGCAGTGTGTGCAGAGGGGCCTGCTGCTCAGATGGTATGCTGCAGAAGGCATTGCTTCCTTGCAAGGTGCCCGGGATCTGGTTCTGTAGTGCTGCTCTCTGTTCTGTCCCTCGAGCAGAGAGAAGTAAATGGGGATTTAATGAGTGTTCAGCCAGGACAAGGCACAGGTGCAGGCTGCAGTCCAGGTCCCACATGGAATGTAAGAAAAATCATAGAATTAGCAGTTCTCATAGAGATCCCAGGCACGTCAGCAGTTGTCATAGTGATGACAGGTTGCTGAGTTCTCTGAGTTCTACCTGGAGCACTGTGGGATTAGGGGTTGGTTTGATTTGGGCTTTTGTATTTTTATCTTAAAACAAAATGCAGACAGTCGTATAAATACGTGCTTTATTGAATGTTTATTACAAAGCAGGTGCCTTTTGTCTGTAATCACACAGTAGGGTGAGAGTGGTGCTATATAGTAAATGCTTCCAGTGAGTTTCAGTCGTTGCCCCTAACTCTCTTAACCTCCTTCACACCTCTCAAGGTGACGGTACTCATATGCAAATGAACTGCCTTCCTGGAGCCTGTGAAAACAAATGCACAGAAAATTACTGTACAAATTACAAAATAATGCATCATTGTATTGCCTAGGTTAACTATATTACCAGTAAGAATTCCAAGATAGAATCTTCATGTTACAGATGTATGCATTTTGTAAATCCAGCTAATGGAAGATGTCATGCTTGTCATCAAGCAAAGGCTGGCATGCACTTGAGGACACACAGAATAATTCATAGAAAAACCACCTTTGTGTAGGAATTTGGAAACTGAAGACGAAACTCAGTGTCTATACATATATTTTTTTAAGACTGATTTGTTTGTATTTGAAAGGTAGGGTTACAGAGAGGAGAGATAGAGAGAAAGATCTACTGGTTCACTCCCCAAATGGCCACAGTGACCAGAACTGAGCCAAACTGAAGCCAGGAATCAGGAGCTTCTTTAGAATCTCCCATGACTTTGGGCCATGCTCTGCTACTTTCCCAGGCCACAAGCAGGAAGCTGGATGGGAAGTGGAGCATCTGAGAGACGAACCAGCACCCATATGGAATGTCACCACCATGGGGCAAATTAGCCTCCTAAGTCATAACACCATCCAAGTATCTATTTTTAATAGCAGTGTTTACACAAATTAATGTTATGTTTATGTTATGCTAGTTTTTAATATTTTTTGCTCTATTTTTATTTATTTGAGATAAAACTCCCATCCAGTGGTTCACTCTTCAAATGCCCACATAACCAGGGCCAGGGCGGGGCAGAACTAGGAACTGGGGACACAATCCACGTCTCCTGTGGGGTGACAGGAACCCAGTTGGCTGAGCTGTCACTGCTGCCTCTCTGACTCCCCCATGGGATCTGCTTTAGCGGGAAGCCAGAGGGAGGAATCGAGAGCCAGAGCTCAATCCCACACACCCTGAGGTTGGAGCCTAGACCCTAGACTGAATGCCTGTTGCTGATATTGATTTTATTTATGTATTTGTTTGAAATGCAAGGGTGTCATTTGTAATGTCTTTATGATATAGCTGAGCTATGGAACACCCATGAATATCTTACCCTAGAGTTTCCAGGTTCATAAGCTTGGAGTGTTTTTCTTTAGTTTTCAGTCCATGGGAAAGAAGGCACCAGGCACGGTTACCAAAAGACAATCTTGTGTTGTTCATTGTCCTCCTCCTGTGAAACTTGGGCTCACTCAGGATAGAGACCACGCAACCCCAGCGGACTGCATGGTGTTGCCGCAATGCACCGCCTCTGCTGGTCTCCTCTGACTTGGCCGGTGAAGTGGCAGGTGGCTGGGCCTTTACCTCCTTTAGTGTCCCCACATCCCTGGCTTTCTCTCACATAAGCTTTGTTCTCTCCCGTCCTTCTGTCGTTTCCACAGGCCATGAAGGATGCACTGGCAGACCTTCCCGAGTGGTATGGGATAAAAGGCATGCAAGCCCACTGGATCGGGGACTGTGTGGGCTGCCACCTGGACTTCGCACTGAAGGTGATGATGCAGTAGCGTACCCAGCAGGCCACGCTCAACATACTCCTCTGCATTTTGGAACTCTGAATAGCTCACTCAGCATCTTGAACTCCACTCCTGCTGCACTGCCGGTAGAGAGAGAGTGCAAGCCGCATGCAGGGTTTGCACCTCTGTGTGAGGAAAGACGGGAAATTTAATTTGGATTATATTTTACTTAACCCATTAGATCCAAAGTATGGTTTCAAGATAGAATCAGTTGTAAAAAGAATTTGTTAAAGACAAGTTGATACTTTGTTTTAGTACAGGCCTTGAAATCTTATATATATGAAGATTTGTTTGAAAATAGGTTATAGAAAGAGAGGAAGAGACAGAGAAAGAGAACTTGTATATAATGGTTTACTTCCCAGACAGCCATAACAGCCAGGGCTAGGCCATGCCGAAGCAAGGAGACGAGAGCTTCCTCTGGGTCTTCCACATGATTTTAGGGGCCCAAGCACTCAAGCCACCTTCCACTACTCTCCCAAGTGAATAGCAAGGACCTGGTTTGGAAGTGTAACAACTGGTTCATATGGGATGCTGTCATCACAGTTGGTGCCTTAATCCACTATGCCACAACACCAGCCCCGTGAGATCCATTCTATTTTATACCTACAGCACAAACTAGCCATCTTTCAAGGATTCCCAGCTACGTAGTGCTGCAGGTGACTATCCTGGATGGCACAGATACAGAACATCTCCTGGCGGGCTCTCTTTGACATTCTGTGCATGAGGTTCGCAAGGATCTATTCCTACACAGTAGGACCATCGCTCTCACTGCATTCTGGCAGTTGATGGGGTAGGGGGAGTTTTGTCACAAGGCCATTAAAAACCAAGAGAGTAAAGACTAACCAGTTCAGAGGTAGACAGACCCACTGTGTAGGGTGCAACACGAAACAGCCTGCTGGACCAACACTGCTGACAGGTGCAGCTTAAGGTCTCCCCCTGCGGGAGGGAGGTGCCCCTGGAGCTTTTCTCTCAGAACTCTTGAACATGCGAACTCTTCTGCTGCTCGTTGTCACTGGGTGTTTCCATCCTTCACATCCCCTTCTCTGATCAGTACTTCTGTGCTCTATTCATTCAGCTTCAAACTCTGCCTTCCCCTTAGTCCCTGTCAAAACCTTTAAGACAAATTTAGCCCCTGGGCGGTGGACAGACCCTCACAAGAGAGGTCCTGCTCACCCAGCCACAAGCAGGTGCAGCCTGCCCCCAGAGAGTGCACTTCAAAATGTACAGGACATTAGATCTCAGTTGAACATTCCACTGCTCTCCTGAGCAGGTGGCAGGGGCTCAGGAGTGGAGTCCGGCATGACTTTCCTTTAGCCTTACAAGGCCATCTGTGATTAGGGAGGCTCCTGGGCATTATCCTGGGTCTGGTCCCCATGTCTAGGGCCTTAGCTTCTCAGGGGAAGTGCTAGGGAGTCCCTGCACCGCTCACTGCTGAGTGCCAACACACACCCTGCTGATGTAGTCAGATGCTATTCGGGAGAGAATGGGGTTGTGGTTGGGTTGCTGCCCAGAAGGAGGACTGAGAAAGCAAATGGCTCTCCTTTCCCTCCTGCCAGGTTGACGGACAAGCCACAGGAGAGAAGCTGACTGCCTACACGGCCTCCCCCGAGGCCATTTATGGAGCTTCCCATGTGGCCATCTGCCCCAGCCACAGGCTCTTACACGGGCACAGCAGCCTGCGGGAAACCTTGCAGCAGGCATTTGTCCCTGGTGAAGGTGAGTCGATGAGTCAAGGCTGAGGTGGTGTGGTGACCGCCTTGCCTCTGGACAGTCGTTCCTGGAGCTGGTATTCCTGTCACACACTCATCTGTTGTCTCTTGTGACCTGTTCTGACTTTATTCTAAAACATGATAACTGTCTGAGGGGCAACATGCTGTGCGGCGGGAGGGCCAGGTGTGGGTCCTGCCTCCTTCCAGTCCAGCTTCCTGTTGATACGTCCTGGGTTAGCAACCAGTGATGAACCATGTGGTTAGGTCCCCGCCAGCCTCATAGCAAACCTGGTTGGACTTCCGTTTTCCTGGCAGTGGCCTGGCCCAGTCCTGGCTGTTACGTACATTTGAGGAGTGAATTAGCGAATGGAAATTTCTCTGACTTTCAAGTAGATGAAAATAAACATTAAAAGAGAGTAAGAGAGATGTGGAAACATTAAAACCCTAGCCTCTGTCTTCGTTATGAGATTGTCTACCTCTGGCAACTGAAAGCTCTGGTTTTTTTCTTTCAGTTGAAGCACTTTTCTGAAAGCAATAGAATCTTCTCTTGATTTACAATCCCATCATCCAAAGAACACTGGGCTGAGAGGGACCGGGGGAAGCCAAGACAAACGAGAGGAAGCTTTGCCAGCAACTTAATTTTATTGCTGTAAAGAATTCTTCCGGTCATCTGCTCCGTGTAGGCCTTTAATGGTTTGTGAATCGCTCCATGCTGACACAGGAACACTGTCAATCAATGCAGATCCGGGAAAGTACTTATACGTTAGTCGAGACCCTGTGGTTGCTAGCAAGAGAATCCACCTGCAGCTGCCCTGGGCCTTTTGCTTAGCCAAAGAGGGGTCAGGCTCTTCCCGCGATGGAGCATCAAGAGCGTCCCTGGGAGGGAAAAGGGAGTGCCTGTCAGGAAGGGAAGAGTTTTCTGGAATGACTTACTTCTGCCAACCATCTCATCCCTTTTCCGTTCCACGGACATTACATGGCAGCCCAAATGTACGGAATCAGAATCCTTCAGGGTCCTGATTAACAGGTGTTCCTGTTTGGGGTGGTGATCTCAAGTTGCCTTTTTAGAGAAAAACGAAATGGAAGCATTGCCCAGGATCTGGTTAGGAAGTGAGATGACGTCATCTGTCACGCAGTTCAGCTGTGCTTTGGCCAAGGTTGCTTACCAGGAGCATTCTAGCCAGCCTTTGAACCGGCGGGCACCTCCCAGGAGCCTGGCACAGGCGCGGCTCCGGACCCAGCACAGCCGGAGCGTGTGTCGCCCGCTCCCCCAGTACAAGACACAGCCCTGTCTCTGTTACAAATTGAAATACAGAGGAAAACCTTGGCTTAAAATGATTGTGTGTGTAAAAGCCCAGTATAACTCTCTCGCTCTCTCAGGTATATTTTTTCTACTCAAAAGAAAAATTGGATTCTTTCCAATTTAATTTCAAGGGAAAACTTGTGGTTTCTATTCCCAAAAAACAGTTTGAGATTCCTTGAGGGCAATGGTGGTTGAAAATTGTCTAAAACTGAAAAACCAAAAAAAAATTTAAATGTCTGGCCCTCAATTATTTTTTTCTTTCAGTTAATTTAGAGATACAAGTTAAAATGAGGTAATAGTAAGGGAATTAATAAGCTAATCAATGATAAGAGATGGAGTTCCTGAAAGATACTACATAATTTCAAGCATATTTCTATGTGAAAATTGAGAAATTACTGAATCTATGCACACAGCAGTGTTTTCCTGGTCATTCGGACCTCAGCACACATGACCCAGCCTGGTCCTGTCATTTTGGCAAATGGTAGTGATTGAGTTCCCCATGCCACGTTCCATTTGGAAACTCTCACTTAGTGACTTTCTCTTGCTCTTTATAAATCTGTAGCAATTACAAATGGACCATTACACATTGGCACTAATTTTCTCCATTTCTAAATTTCAAAGTGAAAGGTTTTTTGTTTTTTTTTTTTTTTTTTTTTTTTTTGCAGATGTCAGTTTATTCAGTCTCTAGGTGAATTTGTACGAGTCACTGGATCTTGACCTTGTAGTCACATAAAGCCAGGTTCCAGATCCACCAGTGTGACTGACAACAAGGCCGTGTAAGCTTTGTGAAGTTAGCTTTCTTCACCAAGCAAGGGCAGGGCTGTGCAGGCAGGTCCTGGGGAACCTCGTGGGCACAGTAGGAGCCAGAGAGAGTCATGTGCACAGGGTAGCGTGTGAGTGGCAGAGGACACAGGTGGACTGGGCAGCCCGTTGACTGCATGTAAGTGCTTTGGGCTTAGCTTTCTGTAATTTGGCACAGAGCCCTTTAAGAGAAGAATCAGTGCAAGGTGCTTCCCTACGGTTCTTGACATCTCGTTTATTTCTGTGGTCGTTGACACCGCCTTTGCCAGCCAGCTCTGACTTAGGTCTTGTTATGTAATCTCTGGCTTAATAGAAACTCAAATGCATTAAAAAAAACCAGCCGAGGTCTAGGAGCTGTTCTTGTCTCTCCTTGGAATCTTCCCCTACATTCCTGATATGAAAATGTTCAAACCCTAAGGGCTTTGCAGCCCCACACTTTATTTTTTAAGATTTATGTATTATTTTTATTGCAAAGTCAGATATAAAGAAAGGAGGGGAGACAGAGAGGAAGACCCTTCCTCTGATGATTCACTCCCCAAGTGACCACAACGGCCTGTACTGTGCCGATCCAAAGTCAGGAGCCAGGAACTTCCTCCACATCTCCCATGTGGGTGCAGAGTCCCAAGGCTTTGGGCCATCCTTCACTGCTTTCCCCAGGCCACAAGCAAGGAGCTGGATAGGAAGTGGAGCAGCCAAGATTAGAACCAGTGCCCATATGGGATCTCTGTGTGTTCAAGGCGAGGACTTTAGCTGCTAGGTCACGGCGCTGGGTCCAGCAGCCCCACACTTTAGCTAAGTCACCAGTTGTCCACACAGTGCATGTTTTGCCAGAAGGTTAAGTGAGGCCCATCTGAAGGGTGACTCAGAACTCTGCGCTGCATTAACCATGGACCACTCACTCATGCTTTGTGTCTGTCTCCATAGAATGAGCCTGAGGCTGGGAACCCAGAATAGGGAGTGCACCTGAAATCCTAGATGCCGGTTCGTTCTATCCACACACGCTGATGGATGCTGTGTGCAGGAGTAGGCCCCTGCACTCGGGTTGTCTATAACCAGTGCAGCTTAACAGTTGTCTGTGCCTGGAACCTCTCACAGCCTTCAGTCAGCCCACGCGTACTGCGACTATCCGAGAGAGGTGGTCCTAGGCAACACTCGGCACATACGCACAGTCAGACCTGATTACCTGCAGCATCCCTGGGAGCTGGTTCAGCAAAGCAGCAGCACCAAGTGAACATCCTTTTGCCAGAGGCACCTGCCTGCTGGCCTGTGGGTGCCCTGTGAGCAGATGATGCCTTTTTTCCTATCACGTTTCTAATAACTCGGGTCCTGCTGGGCAACGCACTGCCGTGACTCCAGCATTCCACATGGGTCCCTGTGTCACTTCACCATCCCAGGAGTCCCAAGAAAGAGAACACCAGCAACTTCAGTGTCTAGTTTTACTCCAAGCAATAGATTTTTATGTACAGCATGCAAGTTGATAACTATTAATTTTATATCTACATATTAGTAGATTTAGAAATATTATCAGTTAAGGACCACTTTTTCTTTTCAAACTGGAAAACTGAACTTTCGTAAAGACTGAAGAAAACCAAAACCTTCTAACGTACGTGGTTTATCTTTTGTCTCATAGCCACTTTGAAGAGATGTAATTCACATGCCAGGTGATTTGCCCCTTTTAAGTTGTGTAATTCAGTGGGTTTTAGTACACTCACAGGTGTGCAGGCCTCTTCATAGTCAACTGTAGAAAATTGTTATAACTCCAAAAAGAAATCCCATACCCTTTAGCAGTCACCATGACACACACAGCTGTCTAATTCCTAGCCCTGGGCACGCGGTCATCTGCTCTCTGTCACCTCCGATTGGCCTGTTCTGAACATTTCACACAAATGGAGTCAAGCACGAGTTGTCCTTACGTGTCTGGCTGCTGTTCATTTTGTGTGTTTTCTAAGTTCCTGCGGAATGTAGCATGTTTCAGTACTTCCTCCCTTTCTGTTGCCCAGCTCCACTTCACTCACATACATGCCACATTCAAGTATGCTGCTTGTCAGGTGATGGCCATTAAGTCCATTTCGACTTCAGCTGTTACAACTGCTGCTACAGACATTCATCCAGAATGTTCATCATTTGTGTGGATGTGTAGTTTTATTTCCCCGGGTACACACCTCGGAGAGAAGGAGCTGGGCCCTGTAGCTGCTATGTTTATGCCAGACCTGATCAGGAACTTCAGATTTTTTTGTTCTTCCTAAGAAATAGATGTGGGCCAGGCACGGCACGCCAGACTGCCTTCCGAAGCGACCTCACTCTCACACATTCTGAGGAGCAGAGTGGAGAGCTCCTTGCCAACACTCTTGTACTGTCTTTTTTTGAGTGGGAGTCATCCTGTGGGGTGCAGGTGGGGGGAGGGAGGAGCAGGCACCTTGCAGACTGGATTTGCAGTCGCCTGTTGTCAGGCATCTTTTCATGTGCTTTCAGCCATTTAACTCGCTCCTTTGAAGCCATGTCTGTTTATATCCTTGGCCCATTTTAAAAACTGAGTTATCTGCCTTTGCATTGTTTTATTCTTGTAGCACCTTGTAGAGTCTGGATACCCGTTCCTTGTCAGGTGTGCAGTGAACAAAGCCACTCTCCTGTTCTGGAGTTTATCCTTTCATTTTCTTGATGGTGCCCTTTGAAGCACAAAAGGTTTTTGTTCTCACGGAGGCCAATTTGTATGTCCTGGGTTTTATTACCTTAATTTTCTTTAATTTTTAAAGATGTATTGGCTTGAAAGGCAGCGAGAGATATTGTATCTGCTGATTTGCTTCCCAAATGTGTGTAACACCAGGTCTGGGCCCAGCCAAGGCCAAGAGCTCGGAATCCTATCCAGGTCTCCCACAAGAGTGCAGGGCCCAAGTGCTTGGACCATCTTCTGCTGCTTTCCCACACACATTAACAGGTTGCTGGATGGGAAGTGGAATATCTGGGAAGCCAACCAGTGTTCTAATATGGGATGCTGGTACTACAAATGGTGGCTTAACGCACTGCACCACAATGCTGGTCTCTGGTTTGACTTTTAAACTTTTTTTTTAATCTATAAAATCCGTGCCTAATTATGAGTCATAGAGAGTTATACTTGGGGGGAGGGAGCACCATGGTATAGTAGGTTAGATCTTCGCTTTTGATGCTGCATCCCATGTGGGCACTAGTTGCTATGCTGGCAGCTCCATTTCTGATCCAGCTCCCTGTTTATGACCTGGGAAAACAGCAAGAGATAGCCCAAGTCTTTGGGCCCCTTTACCCATGTGGGAAGCCAGGAAAAAACTTTAGGTTCCTAGCTTCAGACTAGTGCAGCTCCAGCCATCGTGGCTATTTGGGAAGTGAATCCATGGGTTGACATCTCTCTCTCTCTCTCTCTCCCTATTGCTTTGTAAATCTTCCCTTCAAATGAAAATCAATAATTTTTTAAAAAGACCTATACATTCTCGTAAGAATTTTATCATCTTGGGCCTTACATTTAGATCTTCCATCCATTTTGAGTTAAGTTTTTATACTTGGCGCATGAGGTAGGGATCCAACCTCATTTTTTGCCTGTGATGATTCTACTTTGTAATACACAGTTCATATTCCCACACACATATCATAAAAAGTAGATGCCCCTGCCTGATTTTCCTCCCCATTTTTTTGACTTAATATACTATTAGAAAATGTTTGTTCTTATGCGAGCTTCACAATTCCTTTTTCATTCATGTATCGTATTCAGTCAGCTTAGGACACCATAATATCTGAAGTCTTCCCTAGCATGTTGGGTTCTCTGCATCATGTGTTGGCCTGTCACAGAGAGCTGCTATGAGCATGTATGTTCACACAGTTCTTGGCCTCTGTAGGGTTTTCCTTTGGAGGAATTCTCAAGCATGGGATTTTTTGGTGGGAAGGGTCAGGGTTTATGAATGTTTTTCTATGCTATGTTTCTTGTTCCCTGTTGCTTCTATTGGTTTCTAAAAAGGCATACTCAGTGATACATGGATTTTATTGCAACATCAACAAGTATAGTTGTTACCCTACTAAAGGTTTTTGCTAATTTCTCAGGTATGAATGATAATAGCTTTAGTTTAGCAAGATTTATTTGTCATCTTTCTCTTTTTTTCAAAAAAAACTTTTATTTGAAAGTCAGAGTTAAGAGAAAAAGGTAGAGACAGAGAGAGATAGAGAGAGAGAGCTCTTCCTTCTGCTGGTTCATTCCTCACATGGTTACAATGGCCATTGCTGAATGAGGAGGCCTAAGGCAGACTGGGAACTTCATCTGGGATTCCCACATGCGTGGCAAGACCCAAACACTTGGGCCATCCTCCACTGGTCTTTCCAAGCTATTAGCAAGGAGCTGTATCAGAAGTGGAGCAGCCAAGGTTTGTCTGCCTGATGCAATGGAGTTAAATTTCATTGTGTGGATAAATCCAGGTGGCTTTATTATCATCACAGTGGTCCCAAATGAGCCCTGACCAGCATGATTACATTTTAAGGTTTTTGTGTTTATTTTAAGGGTAGTGTTACAGAGTGAGAAAGAGACAGATCTTCGATCCACTGAACTTCACTCCCCAAATGGCGACAAGGGCCAGGACTGGACCAGATCAAGGCCAGGAGCCAGGAGCTTCTTCTAGGCCTCCCATGTAGATGCAGGGGCACTTGGGCCATCTTTCACTGCTTTTCTAGGCTCATTAGCAGGAGGCTGGATTGGAAGTGGAGTAGCCAGGACTTGAACCTGCACCCTTATGGGATGCTGGCATCACGATGCAATGACCCCTACATTTTCATTATTGTTTAACTTTTTTGATTTTTTATACTATCTATAATGCCATCATACTTCATTTGTTTTGTATTTTTTGAGTTTCTAAGTCTGGCAGTATCTCAGTAGCTCTTTGAAACTCCTCTCAATTTAGATTTCTGTATATTCCCACTTACCGGGTAAAGTGTGATTCCCCTCATTTTCCTGAAGATGCTCTCCAGGCCCTTGTCCTGCTTGGAGCTGACCTGCTCACTCTCTAGGCCACTGGTGCACGTCTGTCAACTTCCCTCTGTCTTTGTTCTGTCAATGTCTGTACCTCTTTCTTCTGTGTTGAGCCCTGTTTCCTGGATCCCATGTCTGCCTCTCTCCTGATCTACCCCATTGTTTTCTTGGGATACATCTTGTGATATCTCCTAAGAAAATGTGCCTGGGAAGGAACTGTTTTGTCTTAGGATATCCTAGATCCTACCCCCTACCCAACGCCATCTTCACGTGTTCCGGTTTGGGATTCTAGATGTCTCCTACTGTCACTGTAGATGAACTCCGTGCTTCTTATTCTCCTGGGCAAGGGATCTTCAAAAAGCTCTGAAAATGCCTATGATGGAGGGAAAAAAAAATTATGCTTAGATTCCAGTTATTTCACCAAAAAATAAACTTATCTTTAAATTCTACTTTGTTTTGAGGTCCCCAGGTTGATTATACCCAAGTTATTTTCCAAGACGAGAAGGCAGTCATGGGACTGTCTTTACCATCTGGAAAGCAAAATGCTGTTTTTGTTTCTTTGCAAGAGCCTAGATGAACATTTTCTCACGTGCTTGCTTCATTGTTTGATTTTTTTCCATGGGTGTGAATTGTCCATTAATACCCTTCAAAGGGACACGTTCTTTCACAAATTAGCACAAAACACAGATGTTCCGGTGCCTATTTTTCTCACTCATCTCCTCGGAGGTTCAGGTGGCATCAGGGCCCCAGCTGACCGCGTCCACAGTTATCTGGTTCTCATTTTCAGATTCCCTCACACCGGTGACAGCCGTGAACATGCTCACCCAGCAGGAGGTCCCTGTCGTTGTCATGGCCAGCGCTGAGTTTGAAGGCTCTCTGGATTCGAAAATAGGTGAGTAGCTAGTGACGTGGAATCATGATAATATACCTCAAGGGATTAAGATCAGAATATATCCCTACTGCCATTCGCTGGAAAAGCTCACCATGCATTCCATGACCTGCTTTGTTTCTGTGTGGAAATGTCCACCTCTTTACGTCACCCCTTTGAGACCATACTAGGTACCTGGATTCTTCAAAAAGTTCATGGAAAATAGAATTTTTTAAAAAAAGTTGATTTTTGTTTGATAGTACCCATTTTTGTGAATTTTTGAAGCTGTCTTGTTTATCACACCTTACTATACACTATTGAGAATATATATATTTTTAAGAAAGTCTGGTTCATGGGTCTTGGTAGCAGAGTCAGTTGGTGACACCTGTTCATATGTTGCAGGCAATGGTACAAGGCAAAGGAAAACCCAACATCCACATTCATCCAGCCTGAACAGCTGCTGGCCTGGGGCTCAGTACACACATGACACATGTGGACTGGGTTTTGGTGAAGGTTTTTGTGGAAGGGGTGAGCATGAATTACTCAAGGCAAGGGTAGCAAGACCAGCACCATGGCACGGCAGGTTGAGTTCCAATCCAGCTCCCTGCTAAGATGCCTAAAAAGCAGCAGAGGCTGTCCCGAGTGTCTGTGTGTTTTAACTACGTTGGAGGACTGGAAGAGGTTCCTGGCCCAGCCCCAACCATTGTGGCCATTTGGAGAGAAAAATAGCAGTTGAAAAATTCTCTTTCTCTCTCTCTCTCTCTCCCTCTTCCCCCACCCCCCACCTCTCTCCTTCTCTCTCTGACCCTCCTATCTCTCTATAACCTTACCTTTCAAATAAATCTTAAAAAGAAAAAAATCATAACAGTGGTAAAAACTGATGACATATTTAGATCTGTAAATTGGATGTCCTTGGCTCATTTGTGAGTGTTCAAAGTCTTTGTCACATGGCAGGAAGTCCACGGAAGAATACAGGGATGGGGACCTAGAAGCAACTCAGTCCAAACTGCCAGTCCTTTGGGTAGAGCTGTGCGTCTCCCAGGACCCACATCTGTGCTGCGGGTTCCAGCCACAGCCTTGCCCACAAACGGACCGCATACTCATGGCTTCTGAGCACACTGGAGAAGTCACACTTGTTAAAATCACATTTCCCCCTCCTCATGACCAGATTGGCTTTTGAATAGATGATTTGAAGAGGCATCAAAGCAGAAAACCCACACTAAACCATTTAAATCATCCTCCTGTGAACATTGAAGCATAGACAGTGAGCTGTTCCAATTATACATTTGATAATTAGTAAAATTTACTACTACAGCCAGGTGAGATAAACAATAAAAGAAACTTAGGTTGATGTAGATTTGGGACAGGGATTCATTTATTTATTTTATATGTTGAGTCAGATCTTTGATTCAATATTGAGAATTATGAAGGAAAAAAACACTTGGTCTTTTTTTTTTTTAGGTAAGCAAAGAAAATTATTTTCCTTTGTTGCCTTGATTTCCCATAGTTACATAATTAACATTTTCTAAATTAATGTTTTTTTACTCCCCCAATGAAACAAAAATGGAAATAGAGAAAGAGATAAGGTCGTATTTTTACCATGCCACTTGCAGTGTCACCAATAGTTCAAACTCCCCCAAGCCTCACACAAGAATGCCATGACCCAGAACATTCTTTCTGTGGCCAAGTCCATGTGGTGCCCACTATGTCCTCTTCCAGTCATTGCTCCTTGTTATGCCAAACCATGGGCTTTGGCGGCATAGCTGGTGACTGCCTCCTGAACAGGAATGCCCTCTGATATTATTACCTGCCTTGTGTCCCCATCCTTTGAGACCCTGTCCAATAGTTCTGGAACAGGGGCCATTCTGCCACCAGGGTACATGTGGCAGTTTAGGGGGCGCCTTCTTGTTACTCCCAGCTCGGGCTGTGGGGGTGGAGGGGCTGCCCAGGGGCCACTCAGCATCCTGTTGATGTGCCTCACAGCCCTCAGCCCGAGGTTCTTTCAAAACCAACAGGAAGTGCATGGCTGTGTGCCTCGCTAAAGCCACAATAGCTTGACATCCCCTGGACCAGCCTCATCTCCTCAAGGGCCTGCGTGGGCTGCAGGATTCATGCCAATACACAGCCTACCGGTGCCTTCGGGAACAAAGCACAGACACCAGCTTTCAATTTCCTGGCTGAGTGGATCTTGGATCTTGTTGAGGTGCTAGGGCATGCTGGGGGAGGCAGCCCTGGCTCCCAGGAGGCAGGCACTGTCCTGTCACTGCTTGTCATGTGTTGATTGGGTGACAAGAAATGCTGGTGTCTTGTTGAAGAACAGAAATTTACAAAAAAACAACCAAAACAACAACAACAAAAAAACTAAACCAAGCAAAAAGACTTAAAAAAAAGATGACACCAGTGTGGTCATCTGGCTGTGTGGGGGCAGTGGGTTTTCTTGGGGCCCACGTATCATTTTCCCAATGGCTGTGACGTGGTTCCGCAGTTTCTTCAGTATTGTCAGCTAGTTTGTGATCCCGATACTTAAAAAGGTGCCTTGTGCTTTATTCCACTCTGAACAGGAATTCCGAGCACCAGCTCCAAGGACGCCATCCTAGCCCGCACCTTAGGCCTGTCCTACTCTGATGTCATTGAAACTTGGCCAGATGGCACAGAGAGACTGCGCAACTCTGCTGAGGTGGGTATCCCCGTGGACAGGCCCTAAGCACATCCTCCCAGAACCGTGACCTTAGTAGGAGTCTGATGAGCTATCCTCCCTCAGTGCCATGTGACAGCCTTCAAGCCCCCTCACTCATCCACATCCCTGAAGCTCAGGAACCTCGAAGCTTCATATGTGAAAAACAAAAGAATGTTTTTCAAGATCTGGGAGTTTACCAACTCTGTGTCTCATTCAACCCCAGAATAGTGTGGTATCAAAGTAGCTACACTTTATTTTGGGAATTCTCTGCTGGAAACAAATGATCTTATACAAGAAATCTCGACAGAGGCAACTGAAATCGGCTCTTCATGCCAGCAGAGCTGTCTGTTGTCTCCAGATCTCTGCCTTCATCTTCACCTGAAGGTAAACTCAGAGAAACAAGCAAATTCTAAGTCCATTTGGTCAGGGATATCTCTGACTAGCCCGAGACAGCAGCATTTGAAGCTGGGGCGTGTGGCAGGATTGGCACCCAGCATCATATGATGGAAAAGGAAGGGGGAGGGCTGGGAGGGGAATGGCCACGTGCAGCGAGCCTCAGGCAGGAGCTGCTGCAGATCACCTGGTGGTCTTGTGTAAACACCTGCGACCTGCCCTCAGCCCCAGAGATTGTGGTTCCATCATCTCTGTGCTAGAAGTCTCCTGGTATTATCGCTTGCTGCTGCTGCTGCTGCTGCTCTGGGCACCGCCCTTGTTAGAACAGTGCTGCCTACAGTCCAGTCCCTGGACTGGTAAGATTGGCATCTCCTGTCAGAAGTGTGGACTCTCAGGCCTCACCCTAGTGTCAGACCTTCAGGTGATGTGTATGCACATTGAAGTTTAAGCATAACGGAGCACTGTTTCTTTGTTTCTTTTATTTATTTATTTTATTGGAAAGTCAGACCTTACGGAGAAAAGACAGAGAGAAAGATCTTCCACCTGCTGGTTCACTCCCCAAGTGGCTGCAAAGAGTGGAGCTGAGGCTGATATGAAGCCAGGAGCTCCCATGTGGGTTCAGGCTTTGGGCCGCCCTCCACTGCTTTCCCAGGCCACAAGCAGGAGGCTGTATGGGAAGTGGAGCAGCTGGGGCACGAACCAGCACCCATATGGAACCCCAGTGCATACAAGGCGAGGACGTTAGTCACTCAGCTCTCACGCCAGGTCCCACAGCAGCACTGCTTCTTAAACATGGCTGTACTCTAGAAACCTCCAGAGAGCATTAATACACTGACGCCTCGGACCCGCCCAAGGAGTTTGTGCTTAATGGTGGTTCACAATGCGGACCTGGCTCAGGCATCCAGAGTGGTCAGAGGCTTCCAGGCAGTTCTACTAGGCTGCAGAATCTGGGAACCACCAGCTTAGCATAGCAGTGCCATACTTGGCCTTATCTCTGACTTGACTTCCCGGAGGCCCCACCCTGGGTGATCCTGATTCGGTCAAACCTACAGGTTTTTGATTTAGCTGGTGGATTAGGGGCTTCTTCCATTCTTAAGGAACAACAACAGTTTCTGACCTCATGTTTGTGCCTTCACTTTTTTTAAGATTTTTTTTTACATTGGAAAGTCAGATATATGGAAAGGAGGAGAGATATAGCTCTTCTAATGATTCACTCCCCAAGTAACCTCAGTGGCCAGAGCTGAGCTGATTCAGTCAGGAACCGGGAACTTCTTCCGGGTCTCCCACGCAAGTGCAGGCTCCCAAGGCTTTGGGCCGTCCTCCACTGCTTTCCCAGGCCACAAGCAGGGGTGGGAAGCAGGGCCTCCGGGATTAGAATCAGTGCCCCTATGGGATCCCAGGTGTGCAAGGTGAGGACTCAGCCTCTAGGCACCCTGTGCCTTTACTTTTTGTGTCACATCCCTCAAGGTCTTGGGGAAAGCAGGGTATTGAACCTGTAGCCCCTTTTTAAACTATGTTGGAGGAGACGAGATGGAGCAGAGCAAAGCTGTAGTGTCTGTCAGAGAGCCCCATTTTGTCCTTGGTAAAGTGGAGAGCGGACACTGCGACCACAATGGTGTCTGGAGCGCCCAGAGAAAACACCCAGGCCTCCATGAAGGACTCTACACTCACTGGCTTCGTGCAAGTTGTCTCACATAGTCTGGTGGTAAAGGATAGAGGATTTCTATCCTTCTAGAAGTGGAGGGAGCATGGAGGGCCCAGGGGTGCCTCCTTCCGTGAAGCACAAGAGTGACAGCCAGTACATTTTCAGGGTCAGAAACCATATTCATCTTTCTAGCAACAGTAGCGAAATGTCATTTTAAAATTTGTCTTAAGAAGAAAGGGACCCCAAAGGCAAAGTACCCAAGACTGGTACCCGCCCTCAGACGGCCCTGTGCAGACCTGGTCCCGAGAACCGTGTGAGAAATGTGGCAGTGCAGGGTGGTGGTGCAGTGTGCTGGGGCGGTGACTTGTGTCATGCCAGGAAGAACAAACAGCACTTGCTTCTCTCCCTCGCAGTACACAGGTATGACCCGGCAGGATGCTTTTCTTGCCCTGACTCAGAAAGCCCGGGAGAAGAGAGTGGGTGGAGACGTAACAAGTGACAAACTGAAAGACTGGCTGATCTCCAGGCAGCGGTACTGGGGCACGCCGATCCCCATCATCCACTGCCCGGCCTGCGGCCCCGTGCCTGTGCCTCCAGACGACCTGCCCGTGACCTTGCCCGACGTCACATCCTTCACTGGCCGCGGAGGCTCCCCGCTGGCCACAGCTTCCGAGTGGGTGAACTGCTCCTGCCCCAGGTAAGGCGTGTCCTTCCCCACAGCAGTGACTGTGCCCGAGGCTCCTTCCCGCTGCCTCCTGCTGCTACTGCAGCTCCGTTTTCCTGGGAAGTGCATCAGGCTGGAAAGAATCACACGTTCTGAATGGAAAGCCGCACGCTTCCACTGTAGCTTTGTTAGAGATCACTCTCTTTCCGTTTTATATTCCAAGGAGTTCCTTGGAGGTGACAGAATGCGCACTCCTCTCCCCCTTATGGCTCTCCAGTATGGGGGACCGTGATGACAATGGCCGTGGTTCCCCAGTAGCGGAGCAGGTGCAAAGACGGGAACTGTGCTCAGGGACTTGCTCCTTAATGAACCCGGACCCACCAAGGTTCCTCTCTGCTTGCTGCCAAAGGGCCGTTATGTTTTTCTATCAGTTCACTGGCGCCTCTCAGGCATGAGTCTTCTGCTGCCAGATCAGTTGATTAAACAAATAAACAACAGCCATCAAGCCCGGGCGTCCCCCTGCTGCCATTTCCTGCTGCCTCGCAGACAACCATGAGGATGTTTGCAATGACTGTCCTCGGGCAGCACCGAGCTGCATTTCCCCACTGGGTGATGGTAGCTGCACAGTGCAGCTGAGTGCATGGGACTGCAGAGTGCGTGGGTGGAGGGGTTCAAGTCCCAGCCCTGCCTCTTCATCAGCCGTCTGGTGCAGGGAGGGTCAGCTGGCTTCAGTTCCTTCATCAGGCACTGAATGGCCCCTGAGAAGGACTGTCGGGATGCCACAAAGCACACTTATCCTGCACAGTGCCACCGCCCAGGAAGCTGACCTTCCCCCAGGAACTGAGAAAGCCAGAGATGGAGCTTGTAGGCAGGAACTTGGGAAGCCCCGAGCTACTCTAGGGTAAAGTGTGGACTTCACCTGGGCTTTTCCCGGGTTGGGGAAACAGCAGACCACCTGTGTGGAGCAGTGACAAGAGACATTTGTGGCCTCAGTGGGGATACAGTTAGCCCCCCTGATGGCACAGTGTTGGGAAGGCAGAATGCAGGCGTGGGTGTTGGTGAGAGCTCCCTGTGAGCACCCAGTGAGCACCCAGGGTCAAGAGCTGCTAAGCCAGTGTGGGATGGCAGGGCAGTGTAGGCCGCCGGCTCCCTCCTTGTGAGCTCTGTTACTTGGAACAGGCGTCTGACCCTCTCTGAAGCCTGGTTACTGCTCTGCGAAATGGGAAGTTGGGGAAAAGGAGTACAACTTCCTAGAGAGGCCGTGAGCTGGCACCTGTGCCCTGAATGCTTCCGAGCTTGTTCCCTAGTATTGGGAACAGGAGACGGAGCTGACCCTGGCACTGCTGGCCAAGTCGCCTTTTTCTTCCCACTCACCTGGCTCCCCATGTGAGCAGCACACACGCTGTCTGCAGCATCACCAGACCGTTCCAGAGGGAGTCAGAATGGCCAGGGCCGGCCAGCGGTGATGGCTTTTATGAAACACAGCCCGTGTTTGCTCGCTCGCTGGCACCACTGCACATGTTAGGGAGGAGGGAAGCGTCACCTTGATCTTCTAATTCTTTCTTAAAATAGCATCTGTGTTCTGCTTGGTTGCTCACTGAATAAAAAGACCTGGCTTTCGTTCAGCGATGCTCTGGAGACCAGCAGCCCCGGGTGGCGGGAAGCAGGATTCCCTGAGGGTTCTCTCTGAAAAGCTCCTACCCGTGGGGACCACCAGTGTTCCCAGAGCAGGGGGACCCCTGAGTCCCAACTCCCTGTGCCGGATCTGGGGCTTCCGTACTCTGCTCAACTGCTGCCACTTAATCAGATGCCTTGAGGAGGCCAGGGAGTTGAGGAGTGCAGAAGGGGTGGTTGGAAGGAAACATCAAAAACCTCATGGAGAATGGAATTAAAAGCAGGTAGAGCTGACATTCTGGGACAACAGGTTAAGCCACCACTAGATACTTGCATCCTTTAAGTACTCACTGGTTCAAGGCCCAGCTACTCTGTTTCTACTAATGCATGCTGGGAGGCAGCAGGTGTGACCCAAAGCGCCTTGGCACCTGCCACCCACATGGGGGACTCGGATGGGATCCCAGACTCCTGGCTGGAATATACCAGAGGATGGAAGATGTGTGTGTGCTGCCTTTCAAGTAAATGAAAATAAACTCTAGGAAGAAAGAAAACTCTAGGAGTCTATGACTATCTTAAAATATATATATATATATTATGACACAAAAATATGTCAAAATCCATGTCACTTTTCTTACAATACCTATTTTGTATGTAACCTCTATTTTCCACAAATGCCTCACATACATGGATTTTAATTTTGCCTCCAGATGCATTTACCTTGTGATACCATCTTTTGAGGCCACCTCATAGTCTCATGAAGCCAGCAGGAGCCACTTCACCAGTGCAAGATATAAAAGCAGCCCTTTAAAAAAAAAAAAAAAAAGATTAAAAGCAGACTTGGGCCCCTTGCAGGCTGAATCAGTGAAAGATTCCTCAGTCGCTCTCAGGACTCCTCATCCCTCCGCCAGAGTCTTCCAAGAACCCCACTCACTGGGAACTCACTGGAGCAGTCAGCCCCATGTCCATGGCTCAGGAAAGAGAGCACGCTGTACCCCCAAGGACAGCTGGTTTCCTCCTGGACCTGAAGGCATTGGCCCATTGCTAACACAGGCCTGGGCACATCTTCAGCAGAGGCTCGGCTCTCCCCTGTACCCACCTTGGCCAAGGCCACTCTCTCATGTTCCTAGAACTTTGATACCTGGTTCTTGGAGTCCCATCTGCCCAGTCCTCGAAGGGCATTTTTAACGGTGCAGGGTTACCCTCATGGGCATTGGTCCACCCTGGGCATGTCCGGCCCTGCTGCAGGGAGGGCTTGCTCCTTTTAGCTCTCACACATGATGCTTCCATAGGGAACCTGCCTTTAGGCTGAGGGGTGGAGGGTGAATTTCACAGTGTTTGCTCATTTTTGCATTTGGGCACATACTCCCAGCAGGGTTCATTTCCAGCCACTGGATGATGTCAACATCACTTGTCAGGGAGTTGGGAGTTGACCCTGGCAAGCTGGTATAAGTGCTGACACCTGCCAACCAGTGCCTTCAAGTGACTGATTGTCCTTAGGCAGCCCCGGTGGGTGCCTGTACCCACTGCCCTGGAGCACAAGTAGAGAAAAGCCAAGTTCACTTTGTATCCCATCTCCCTGCATTCTGTCTTTCTCTTGTGCATTGTCTTCCTAAGCGTCATGTAGTAGGCACTGGCTGGAGGCAGTCTTGATGTGCCTGAAATAGAAGTCAGGGCACAAAAGAGACGATGATTCCTGCCTTGTCCTTGTGGGTGGTTAGTTTTCCACCAGGCTCAGTTCAGAGAATATGATGCCTTTAATTGTTGAAGACTGCGATTTGTATTGTGTGAAGTTCTTTAAGGCATTATGGAGAATCTAAAAGGAGAGCTTTGAATTGTTTTCTCACGACACAGCATTGTTCTTAAGACACTTTAAATTCCTGCTCCTTGTCGTAGCTTGTCTCAAAAGCTGGTGGAAAACTGCACTCACATTTAAAGAGAGGCCAGTTGATGAGCTTCATTTATTTCCTAGGTGCGAGGGAGCAGCGAGGAGAGAGACAGACACGATGGACACCTTTGTGGATTCCGCGTGGTACTACTTCCGATACACAGACCCTCGGAATGCACACAGGTAAACCCCCCTGCACCAGCCTGGAGCGTGTGCACCTGGGCTCCCGCAAGAACGAGCAGTATGACGAATCTGACACGACAGACCTGCAGAGGGATGCCTGTGCCAGGTGAAGGGAGGCAGGGAGGCCCTCAGACCACAGTGCGGCTCTCGGTACACCCCAGGCAGGCTGGCAGGTGGCTCCGCACCAGTCCCCTGCACTTGTCTCCTGGGAAAGTGCAGGCTGGCATGAACACCAGGCGTGCAGGGCCGGGGGGAGTCCAAGGAAGATGACCAGAAAGTGTTTGTCTGCTGTGCCCTTCAAGACAAGGCCCACGTCAGGTGACGAGATGGGTGTTAAATTATTAAGTTAGATTATTCACAGTCAAGTGATTCCCATACACAAGAAAAATTCAAAAGCAGCAAAGGAAGGAAATGCTACTGTAACTCCCTCCTCACCATGCACTGCGTTGATGTGATGGCAAAGATGTGGGGGCAGGCACCGTGCTGAAGCTGCTGCTCCAGCACTCACGTCCCCCATCAGAGAGCCTGGGGCAGAGTCCCAGCTCTGCTTCCAACCCAGCTTCCTGCTAATGCGTACCCCAGGAGGCAGCAGGAGACGCCACTACCCATGTAGGAGACGCAGCTCCTGGCTTCCGCCTAGCTCAGCCTTGGTTGTTGCAGGCGTTTGGGGAATGAACCGGCAGAGGTAAAAGATCAGTTTTTCTCCTTCCACATTTACCTCCTCCTCTCTATCTCTGCTTTTTAAATAAAAATAGACTTTAAAAAAAGAGATAATATTTGTTCAGCTATAAACAGTGATGGCGGGAGGCAGGGATTGAAGGACAAATAAGCAGCACTGTCTCATTTCACGTACATAATAGGTAACTTCCCAAACTGTTAAATCGGTAGAGAGTTAGACATATTGCTTAGTAGCTGCCAAAAGGCATTCCTAAGACAGCTCAAAGTGGTCAGGAGACTGGCCTGTGGTGGGAGAGAAGACTGGAGCCCGAGGCCACTACTTTCAGTGCTCCTTGGTTTTTCAGTTACGTGCGTGTTTTTGTGTGGGTTCTCTTGTTGTGGAGTCAGGAAGGGCCCACCGGTGCTGCCTGCCTGGCAGCAGCCCCAAAGAAAAACCTTCATTCAGACGGGGAGGAATAACCCGCAGTTGGTGGAGGGTGTGTGTGTGTGTGTGTGTGTGTGTGTGTGTGAGATGACACGACATCCAGCTGGCTGGTGCCAGACACACCCCAGACCTCTGCCCTTCTTTTCCTATGGACTTTGCATGGCATGAGTGGGCACCTGGGCTCTCCCTGCTTGCCCTGATGGGCCCCATCAGCTCGGACCAGGGCTACCGTCCATCAGCCTTGCCTCCCGGAATTCATCCCAACCTTGGCTTCAGACGACACGTGACCCCTCACTTTCCTTTCTTTACATCGCCTGGATTAACCATTGTATTTCTTCATGCTTTTATTTGGTACAAAGAAAAATCATCTCTCTCTCTTTTTTTTAATTATGCCAGAATTGTGTCATTGTGGTGGTGGTGGCGAGCCTGCTGCCTGGTCAAAGGGCAGGCTCCTGCTTCCAGCCTCAAAACTGGAGTCAGCCAAGCCCTTCCCAAGTGCCTGAAGCTGTGGAGTTCAGAGCTGCCTCCCCAACGAGGCAAAGCAGTTCTTGTTGGATGGAGGGCTCAGAAGGCTGTTTCCTCGGGTACAGACTGGTCTGTCTCCGCCAGTGCTGGTCCCCAGCCCAGCAAAGCTCCCAGCCAACCGACGGAGGGAAGTGGAGTTTCCTCCCTTCTCCACTTAGGACTGGAGAGTGTGAGGAAGGCTCTCCGTTAGCATCTGTCGGCCACGAAAGGATGTGTTAAGGGAAGCGGGGAGCGGTCGGGCTATTTTGTCACAGTCGACCTTAATTATGCTTCTGGCAGCCAGCGTGTCTCGCGCAGACTCTTGTTGGCTGACTGTGTTTGTAAGGTTACTTGTAAAAATTTAAGTTGAGCTTCTGGTTTTAAATGCTTAGTATCTGCGTGTCCATCTTTATCATCAAGGGCCACATTGCCCTCTGTTGGCCAGAACTGAAAACTCAACTGTTTAATTGTGGTAAAACATGAACATAAATCTAGATGTTCCACTACGCACCGTACCCAGAACCGTGTGTTGCTGGTGGTGTTTTCCGTTTTCACAGAGAAATTGCACTTGTTCACAATACACCGGTCATGTCTTCAGCAAGGGCTTCTAGAAATTAGCCCTCATTTTTTCCTCTCCTTTATTAGCTAAGCTTTTCCTCTTATTATCCCTGACAGAATTTATTCCAAGGCGTATGCAGGGGTTCCAGGACAAGGTTTTTTAAACGCCCAGTTTTCATTCTTCCAGCCCTTTCAGCACAGCATTGGCGGATTACTGGATGCCTGTGGATTTGTACATCGGAGGCAAAGAGCATGCTGTCATGCACTTGTTCTATGCAAGATTCCTGAGTCATTTTTGCCACGATCAAAAAATGGTCAAACACAGGTGAGCAGTTTGAGTTCTTTGCAGAATCAAGTCAGTTTTGTGGGCAGCGACTTGAAGCAGGCATGAGTGCTTCTGAGGCAGGCACACATCTGTAGCACAATTTTTCCCCCCCAAGTATCTGAGCTTCACACACACTGCATAGCCAGCCCTGGGCTGTGCTGTCGTGTGCTGGCGTGGGATCTAGCCTCTGTGTTTCGATGTTGGGGTGACTTAGCTCAGTAACATGCAGTTTTCTGCTTGTGAGACCAAAGGGAACAGACCGCGAGGTTAGCTGCTGTTTGGGAGCTTCTCCCGAGCTGCTCCTGTCACCCGTATCCTTCAGTCCCTGACTGTAAGCTCTGTTGCTGGATGTGGCCGGGTCCCACCTCGGCAGATGCGGCCTTCCATCAGTGGATACAGTGGATTAGAAGACAAGACTCACTCTGAGCATCCACTTTCTTCCCAGGGAGTGCATCATTCTCCCGCACACGTCCATGTGTGCTCATGTGTAGGTGATGCAACTAACGTGCTGTACAAATTGAAGAGTAAAATGAACGTGCATGCCCCATGTCACAGGTTAGGAGCTAGAACACGGCAGGTGCCCTGGAAAACCCAGGGAGCTCCTGGTTGTGGACTGCTTCATGCAGTTAGAGACAAAACTGCCGTGAACATTCTCTCCCGTGGTTCCTGACCCACCCGTGTCAGCATTTCCTTGGGGCGTGTGCCTGAGAGTAGACCTGCTCACAGGGCAAGCGTGCACCTCAGCCCTGCCAGGCAACCGTCAGTGACACGTGGCCTCATCCAGCTTGCAGACTCAGCACACCGAGCCTCACCTTGCCTGCTGGATTTGAATTCGGAGACACTGGCTGGCCTCTGTGTGTCTTAGATGAAACCTCTGTGTCCTTGGCCCTTTGTCTCTTCCAGGTTGTTTGTTTCTTACTGACTTCTAGGAGTTTATAAATATTCTAGCTACTAATCCTTTTTTTAGGTTAGGGAGATTTTCACGTATCTTTTCCCATCTCCAACCTTCCCTGTAATTGAGGAAATCGACACAGCAGCTGAGATGGCACTCAGCTCATATTTACAGATTTTCTTGCGGGAGAGCTTTGCTTTTGTTTCTACCTATCTGCATGACCCACACAGGCAAGTGTCCTTGCTGTTCTGATCTACAGAGTATACCCCTAGGGCTCGTCCTCTCCTCAGGGCTATGTGACTCTTCATGCAACAGTTTCCTTTTAAGATGGGAAGCCACAGCAATGCAACTTTGGGCTCAACAGCTGGACTCCACTCAATCCTGCAGCAGAGTGCAATCCTGCCTGTTCCCAGGAGGTGGTGCTGTTGTGCCGCTGGATAAAATATGTGCGTGTAAAGGCTGCCAGTCTGTACCATCTAGTTCATCCAGATGACTCCCTCCCGCCTTCTGTCTCACTCTTTCAAGCATTTCTGTCCAGCCTGTCAGGGGCAGGCACTCCACATCAAGCGTGCATGGGTTTTGAGCTCCAGCTCTGCTGCGGACGCCAGCTTCCTGCCTGTGTGCATCATGGGATGCAGCAGGTGCCGGCTCTAGTGCTTGGGTTCTGGTGCCCGTGGTGCCCGTGTGGGAGACCCAGATTGAGTTCCTAGCTCCCAGCCACATCTCAGGCCAGCATCTGATGGAGACACGTCCCTTCCTCTCTTCTTCCCTTCCCCCTCTGCCTGTCAAATCAATAAATAAAAAAGTGTTGAAGTGCTTACTACAAAGGACAGAGGAACACAGTGCCTGGTACAGGGAAACACCGTGCCCGGGGCTCCGGGGAAGACACACCCAGGTGGCTGCAGGCGCATTGGGCAGCAGCGTGGGCAGCAGCTGCAGGTGAAGCTGTGCGCGAAGGATTCCCATTGCAGGGGAGCTCGTGTTCACTAGGGCGCACTGTGAAGGAGCCCTGTGGCTCCCAGCTGCTGGTCTGACTTAGGTTTCTGGTGGCTGGTCTCTAAGGGGTATTTGCTCGGGCATCACCTGTTCTGCGTGCCCCCCTCAGCTTGCTGTTCTGATCTCTCTCCCCAGAGAACCCTTTCATAAGCTGCTGGCCCAGGGCCTCATCAAGGGCCGGACGTACCGCCTGCCGTCCGGGCAGTACCTGCGGAAGGAGGAGGTTGATCTCACGGGTAAGCTCACCCCCTCCGGTCCTTCCCCTGTCCTCACCCCGCACCGGGAAAGGGCTGGGCCTCGGCGTGTTCTGGGCCTGGATCCTCTGCAGGCTGCTCCTAGGACCGCCTGCTGCTCCCCTCCTCCAGACACACACACATGCACGCATGCCTGCCCAGCCTGCATGTCACAGCCTGTCCCAAGAGCCAAGAACAGAGTCCTTGGACTCTTAAAAAAGAAAAAAAGTCATTTATTTGCAAGGCAGAGTTACAGTGAGAAGGGGGACAGGTGAAATAGCGAACCCATGAAAGAATGGGGAGATGCCAGCCTGAGGGCAGTGGTGCAAACTCCCCTGGAGCCCTGGCCATTCTGCCCAGGGACAAACAATGCACCCAGCAGCCCTTCCCGTGGCAGGCGCCTCCCAAGCCAAATGCAAGAGAGCCAGTTTGGTGGAAGCCATGCACTGAGTTGCTTAGTGAGCATTCATATACCTGGGGAGAGGATGGTCTCCGCGCGCGAAGCAGACAATGGCAGTGCTTCCATAACACAGCCCAGGGAGGGCCGCAGCTCAGTGCAGGGGCACATGTGTTTCAGCTGTCGGTAACCACTGGTGCGCTGCCCACAGACAGCTGTGCACTGCTGCTCAAAGGCATGTAGGCAAGAGAGGCAGGCAACCCAGCTGCTATCACATCCTATGTTTCTAGGGCCATGTCTGCCACGGAAGGGCACGTTTGTTTAATATTTCAACTCTTCTGTTCAGATAAGTGCCTTTTCTGCTCCCCAATTCCCACAACAGTGCAGGAAGGGGCTAAACTGTGCTGGTGGGGAGCAGAGAGAGCGTGGGAGGACAGCAGGGGCGCCAGAGCCTCCCCACCAGCAGGCTGGATCCCATGGGGTGCCTCAGGCCAGCCGCAGTGTGAACATCTTCACCCTTCTCACACAGACTTGCCACCGGGTGCTGGTACCCCGCATCACAAGGGCAAGTTTTCATCTAATGAAGGGTGCCAGGCAGTTGGCTTTGCACCAAACCCAGTCCTGTGTAATGCAGCCAGGCCCGAGCTACATGTGCAGTCCTTCAGCCACACCTTTCCGTATCTCTCTCTCCCCGCTTGCTCTTCCCCTGCTTCCTCTTCTGCACACCCAGTTTCAGTTCACAGAGTGACCCAGAGGACCACGGTGCCAGGTCCCACCTCATCCCGTACCCAACACCTTCTCCCCATGGCGATGCCCGAGAAGGAGGCTTAGTCTGACCAGCAGGTGTCGCCACTGCTTCCGTCCCCTAGGGCTTGCAGCAAGCTGTCTCTGCCCAGACGTCAACTCCTGCAAGAGTGGCAGGGTGTGGGGGGACGTGGCCAGCTGGCACCCCTGAGATGCCTCGCCTCTTGTAGAATGAGCCCAGTGAGGGAGCCCTGCGCACTAACAGTGAGGGACCAGGCCTGGGATGGGAGTGCGACCCCTTAGGACACTCTGAGACCCTGACCCGTCCGCCACCCCTGCCACAGGGGACCCCAGATTCATGAAAGAAACAGGTTATTCTTGTCCTTTATCACTGTCCTCTCTCGAATGTGAATAATTTACAAAGGGGGAAATTACTATGATTTGCAGGAAATGGCGACATGGGCCATTATAAGTGTGTCAAGTATTCACAGAGGGAAGCAGGTGGCCATTGATTTGCAAATGAAAAGTTTGTACAGCACAGAGGGTGGGAAAGTGGCACAGGAGTGCCTTCAGAGAGGCCCCTGTGCTGTGCCCACGCAGCCTTGGCCTCTGCACCGTGTGTCGGAAGCAGTTCGGAGTCACACATGTCCCCTGTCCAGGTTCTGTTCCTCTTCATGTGAAAACCCAGGAGCAGCTGGAGGTGACGTGGGAGAAGATGAGCAAATCTAAACACAATGGCGTGGACCCCGAGGAGGTGGTGGAGCAGTATGGCATCGACACGATTCGCCTCTACATCCTCTTTGCCGCCCCTCCTGAGAAGGACATCCTATGGGACATGCAGAGTAAGTGGCCGCCCCCTTCCTGGCCCTGCTCCCTTGGGATGTACCCTGGAACCCGAGGGAGTTTGAGGAAGGCAAGGTGTGGCTGGACCTTGGGCAGTCCTGGCCGAGTGTCCATCCTGTGTGCCCTGCCAATGGACACAGGAGGTCTCGGGTCATTTGGGGATCTAGCTTGCGGCCAGTACAGATTCCCAGTGCTTGAGACAGAGCTGCCGACATGACCTCCGGGCTGGCTGGGGCAGGGCCTAGGGGAGCTGCCTCTGCACGCTCTGTGCTGACTACGGTATGGGTCCCCTGAGGACTGTGTTATGCAGTTACTCCTGGGAGAGACCGACTGGCTCCCATGCTACCCACTACCCTCGCCCTGCCTGGGTCTGCTGGGGTCCCCAGGGACCACTCCACTCCCCCTGCCCATCCGCTCTGAAAGTTTTCCCCCCACCAAGCTGGGGGACTCTAGGTGGGTTTGGGCTTGGCCTCCTGGTCACTGCTCTCTGACCCCCACCCTCTCCCACACCCGGCTTGTTTAGATCTCAAATGACAGAAATAAGGTAAACTGGGCAAGCTGGCCATGTTGGAGTAAACTGTCCAGAGCTGCCTCCCTCCCCCGCGTGGGAGCTGCCTCGAGTGCTACTGTGGGAAGAGCCTGGCGCCTGCTTTCCCGGGGTTTATGGCAAGCATGCCTGCTGCTGCAGGAGGTCCCATTTACTCTGACCCTCCATGCTAGCGGAAGCAGTCTGCAGCCCCATTCACAGATACCAACTGATGCCAAGACCCACCAGCTGCTCCCAGGTCCCCCACCAGGGGCACATGCGCAAGCAGGCCTAGCTCCCGTCCCTACCCCAACAGTCAGACGCCCAGAATTTGCTTCTGACAAACTTCCCAAAGGTTCCACTGTGCATCCAAGCTTAGGAAGGCCCACCCCAGTGACCACTGGGCACACGCTCAGGGTCCCAGCCAGATTCGCCGACGTGTTTAAAACACAGCTCGCACACATACCTGGTGGGGACAGGGACTCTATCGAGCCCTGCAGAGCAGCGTGGCTGCTTACACAACCCCTGTCCACATGTGGTCAGGGGCCAGGTGGCCCTATCAGGGATGTGGTGCTCTGACACTCATCTCTACCCAGCTGCCAGTCTCGTTGTGGGCTCCAGGCAGTCAGCATGAGGTGCTTTTTAGTTGTTACTTATTTTTAATGTATTTATTTGAAAAGCAGAGTGACACAAAATACGAGAGATGGAGATCTTCCATCCACTGGTTCGTTCCCCGAATGACAACAGCTGAGACTGGGCAAGGCCAAAGTCAGGAGCTAGAGCCTCCAGCCAGGTTCCCCATGGCGTGGTAGGGACCCAAGCACTTGGGCCATTGTCTGGTGCCTCCCGGGTGCTTTAGCAGGGGACTGGATTGGAAGCAGAGTTGGGACTCAATTCCATGCATGCCCATGAAGGATGTGGACATCCCAAACAGCGACTTAACCCACTGCACCACAGTGCCAGCCACGTGGGCAGCATCTGAGTCTTCCCGCCATCCAGGACAGTCAGTGTCGTGAAGCTGTGAATCAGCTGTGGTCCAGCTCTCCAGACCCTGGAAGCCGGGGCCGGCCCTTCACCACGCCCTGGGTCAGACAGCATGCCGCTCGTCTTAGGTGCAGCTGAAGCCGTGGTTCTCACCTGAGCCTTGCTCTCTCTCCACCCCTTTTGTGACCCTGCTCAGCCGATGCCCTTCCCGGGGTGCTGAGATGGCAGCAACGCTTGTGGGCCCTGGTCACCCGCTTCATAGAGACCAGGACTTCAGGAAAGGAGTCACAGCCTGCCCTGCTGAGGAAGGAGGAGAAAGCCGAGGCCCGGAAGCTCTGGGAGTACAAGAACACGGTCATCTCTCAGGTGAGAGCCTGCGCAGTGGATGCTGCCTGACTCCACCCTGTGGTCCACCAGGCCCACTTCCCCTCAGCGGCCATCGGGAGTCTTCCCAACCTAAGGACGCTGGCCGTGTCCCGTGTGTCCATGCTTAGCACGGATCTGGCCACGCACCCTTCACGTGTTACCTTAACAGAGCAGGAAGTAAGTGTAGAGGAGGGATGAGATACTATCTTCTTGAGCTGATTTTCTGAAAGTCAAACAACCCGCCAGAGCTGGGTGGATTGTGACCCATGTTCCCTGAGGCTCAGTGCGGTGCAGGCGTACCTTCTCAGTGGCGTGTGTGTGTGTGTGTGTGTGTGTGTTTCTTATTTGTCAGAGTGTATGCTTTCCAGCTTTCTGTCTGCTAGCTCATCCCCCAGACACCCACAGCAGCCAGGATCCAGGGACTCAGTCCCCGTCTCCTTCATGGTGGGCAGGGATTGAGCCATCACGGCTGCCCCCCAGGGCCTGCAGGAGGCTGGCGACAGAAACTGGACTTGGAAATCAAATCCACACCCTCTGACTTGGGACTTGGGGCATCTTAAATGCTAGGCTGAAAATACATTTTCAAAGTCATTTTCTAATGGGTCTCAGATGCCTCCAATTCTGGGCTGTTGTTTTTCTTTGGGGTGCTGATTCCAATGGCCTGAGAGCTGACTCCATGCACATGGTGGCATGGTCAGCTGTTTTCTCTCTGGCTTGAGGCAGCCCTGGGGCCAGCGTGCTCCTATTTCGGGTCCCTTCACCCTCCTGGCATAGAGGGGCAGAGTTCACTCGGCTGCGTGCCGTGGTCGGAGCCAGGCCTGAGTGCTGGCTGCTGTGTCACAGGTTTTCTGCGTGCATCTGGCAGAGCCTTCTCTTCTGTCAGCTAATAGAATTGGGTTATTGCAACAAGTTGGAAACCCGTGACATGTTAACGATGTGTTGTTTTGCTGAATCCTTGCCCATAACCAAGATTGAGAAGCACCAACAGGAAAGAGCTAGCAGATGGTGTTCTTGCTGTCAACTCTGCATTTCAAAAATGTGAAACTAACCTTCAGTCCAAGTCACTGCCATTGTAAAGGAGAAGTGAGCCCAGGCACCTGCCCCCCATCTGCCGCTGTCTTGGTGGCTGCTTACTGAGAGGGGGTCGGGGTCTTGCCTTCATGCCAGGTACTAGCGTTGTGTTCTTAAACACAGACCTTCCATCCGCTAGTTCACTCCTCACATGCCAGCAGCAGCTGGGGGTTGGGGAGTGTGCAGACCAAAGCCTGGAGCTCGGAACCCAATGCAGTCTCCCAGGTGGACGGCATGGTCACAGGTCCTTGAGGCACCTCCACCGCCTCCCATCGTGTGCATTAACAGGAAGCTGGAATTCAGAGCGGAGCAGGGATGCAAGCCGGATCATGTCCTCACCCCAAGCAACATGTTAACCACAGTTTCAGATGCCTGCCACGGCACTGGCTGCGAGTTAGGGTCTCTCTGATAAGGAGACAGTGATGGTCAAGATGGTGAATACTTGTATAAATAGCTCTCACTGCATCAATGTCGTCATGTTGGTTTTCTTTTTGATAATTCAGGTGTTGGGGGCAGGGGAGGGCAGGAGCTGGAAGAAGTATGAAAGAGAGTGACTCAGCTTTTACCAACAGGTGACTTCCCACTTCACAGAGGACTTCTCGCTCAATTCTGTGCTTTCCCAGCTAATGGGCCTCAGCAGTGCCCTCACGGTGAGTGACCTGGGTCCTTAGCAACGAGGCCGGGTAAGCTGTGGCATGGTGGCCAGCAGGATCCCAGCCAGGTGAAAGAGAGCGACCCCACAAGATCTCCCACTTAGTGTGACCCCGTTGGCTTCAAGAAGTACTTTCTCCATAACTACAGCCTGCTCCCAGTACTGGGAAATTGTCAAATGCTGTCCAGTCCAAACTCCCTTCTTCCCTCATGTTCCAGATGAGGACTCCAGGGGCCCAAGGAGGTGGCTGACCTATGACAAACCTGGGACCAGACCCAAGCCTCGTTCTTGGCTGGTCCCTGTGCCCTCACTGTGTGAGTCCCTGGTGACCTGGACACTTCCTTGGCATTACTGGGTGAAGTTCATCTCACTCAGCTAGGTCAGAATTGCTCTCACTGCATCAAACACAGCATGTATGGTGCAGGCCCAGCTCCTCATTGCGCATGACCGCTGGTGTTCTGCCCAGCCTGCTTGGCCAAGTGGTTGGCTGTTGGACAGCATTCAGATAGCCAGTTTGCGAAATGAGGGCCTCTCCATGTTTTTCAGTGGAAGATGTTTATAGATTTTTTTACTCTGTGACACTTGACATCTTCAGTACATTAAAGCAGGTAGATTAAAAACTAGGGGAAACATTTGTAACAAATTTAAAAACTCAATGGAAAATAAAATCAAAATGCTTATTTTGGTGCAGAAAAAGAAAAAAAAGTTTTAATTAAACCCTATTTGATGCATTTTCTGTGAAGCTTTTTGAAGTCCCCCTGGCACGGCAGATTGAAAGTTATTATCTTCCCCCAACATCTTCGTAGCCACCATTCTTCCTTCAGCTGTCACTGCTGATGGCCCACCTGCCTCTGAGCACACCTGCCCGTGGAAGCCTGGGATGGCTGTGATTCATGTGTGGGTGGTAGGTTTCCTCCCCACTGAGCTGTAAGCTCCCTGGGGACAGAGACAATGTCCTTCCCATCTTTTCTTTCTTAAAAACTAGCCAGTGGTGGGCACTCTGTATGGCCAGGTTGAGTGATGTGCCACAACAATACCTCTGGAGGAAAGTGAGTGCATACTGTAACTGGTAAACCTTTTCAAGGTTTGGGGTCCCAGCGATCCCTGGGCAGGGTGGATGGGAAGGAGGAGCAAGATGGCGGCTTTGAGCAGGACTTGGTGTGTTTGTCACTGGATCCACAGAAAGCTAGCAGAGGGGTTCAGGGTTCCATCGGCCCCCCAGGCCTCCCTCTGGGGACTAAAGGCCAGAGGTGTGGCGGTCACTCAGGTTGGCACTTGGTGACCCAGGGCTGCAACAGTGCCTCTTGTTCCTGCTGTGACCCACTGGGTAAGCCCTTGGACCCTGGAAAGCATGGGAGGTTGGGAGGGTGCTTCCCACCCGCTTGGGTCCCTGAGTCAGTGCGGCCTTTCTCACGCATCCTTCAGCTGCAACCCTCAACCTTCTTACATTTTTCTTTTCCCTTTCCCAGCAAGCCTCAGAGAATGTAGTCCTGCACAGCCCTGAGTTTGAGGACGCCCTGTGTGCCCTGATGGTAATGGCTGCACCCATGGCCCCACACATCACCTCAGAGCTTTGGGCAGGTACGTGGCAGGTTCCTATGCCTCTTGGTGAATATTCCTGGGGTCTCTGCTGTCCTCAGCTGTGGACTCTGGCACCTGGCTGTCTTGTAGTCAGCCCTGCCAGAGGGACATCACACACCCAGACTAATGTGACCCCTGATGGCAGCACAGTACCTTCTCATGACCAGCCAGGGCCTGACCTCATATGTTTTTTTCAAATGCAAACTCTTGTTCAGTCCTGCTTGCCAAGTGGAGCCAGGACACTGGGAATTTAATTTCAGATCTGAAATTCCCTCCTTTGGACAGTGTTTTATTACTGTGCTCTGCGAGAAAGCAGGCCTGCCCACTAACCTGCAGAGTGGTTGACCATGAGAACAGCACAGGGCCCTCACCTCACACTTCACACTGGGATTGGGTCAGCCTCCTGGGAGGAAGCAGAGTGTCGAATAATTAAGCTATTACAGGATGGCGCATGGAAGAAGGCTCTCCGTATTTCTAGAAATAGTCCATCAAAAGTGCCTTTGACTCGGCAGACGCATTTACACGCATGGTCTCTCCTACTTGAGTGTCCCAAAGTGTGCTGTCTCGGAGAGGAAGTGTGTGCTGACCCATGGGAGGCATGGTTGGGGAGCGAGAAGAATCCGTGGGCCTTCTTTGACATCCCTGCCATGCCAGTGGCCATCAGGCTGCAGCAGACGGGCCGCAGCTGTGGTAGAGCTTGGAGTTGGCAGCATGCCCCTGTCACCAAGCTGTGTTTGTTTCTTTCTCACTGGAAAGATGCACTGGCTTGTTGATCGCAGGCAGGGGTCAGAAATCGGAACTCCCTCAGAGTTGTCCTGTGAACCCTCAGGAGGAGGAGGAGCGTTCTTTCCTTTCTGCTTTGGGCAAAGACAGGATAGTTCATCTTCCGGTATCCCGTCAGCAGGTGTCTTTGTCCAAAGGGAAGTGCTTTTCATTCTTGAGGAAGGAAAGGGCCCGTTGACTTGCTTCCACTATAAACCCATAAACTGGCCACAAAGAAAGTGCAGATTTTGTCAAGCCCAGCATCCCTACTGGATGTGACTTAGTGTGGACAGAAGCGTGATCCTGGACAGCTGTAAGACAATGAGTGCACATGCCACAAGCCAGGAGAAAAAAAAGCTACAGGGAAAAGGCCACATTTAACTGAAATATATTCAGACTTTCTCAAGAAATGTTAACCTTCCAGGTGTCAGGCAAGAGAATAACTTCATAAAATTTGGGATGACTTCCAGTGCCACTGGGGGGCGAGGCAAGGCAAGATGGCTACAATCCTGTCTAGCTCGACCCCTGCCATGACAGCCTGTGAGTTCTGCTTGGATTTTACCCTCTGTGGGATCTGAAGCTCCCACTTCAAAGTCTTCATCCAAATGCTGAAGTTCATGCTGTGGAATGCTTTGGCAGCCAGTTTATGTACCACATAATGATGTCCAGCTTTAAGCTTCAACCACCAGAAAGGGCATTGAAATTGCCCACATGTGAACACATGTTCGGGTGTGGCCCCAGAGTTTCCCATGTGAACACACGGCCAGGCATGGCTCCCAAGTTTCCCATGGACTCATTGTTTCCCGAATGCTGGCCGTAGGCCGGCAGCCCTCAGCATGTTAGGGAAGCAGCCTCTCTCCTTCCCTGCCATCACCTCGAGCAGGGGTAGAGTTGTCCACTAATGCCCTTGCTTCACTTGGTGGCTCTTCATTTTCTCCTCTGCCCTTTTGGTATGATTTGTGCCCCATACTTGATTTCCTACCATCAGGGTCTCCTGTGTTCAATTCATATTAGCCATGGTATGGCAGCCTTTGGATACGCTGTTCAGTTATGGTCAGGGGCATCACGGCTGCTGGCGTTGCATTGAGTATTTTGCAGCTGTGTCTGAGACCAACCCTTCTCTCAGCATGCCCTGTCAGGTGGGGGAAGGAGGGACTTGCTGACCTCACGATATGCACTAGCTCCCTCTGTCGCTGTGCTGGGAAACAAACCCATTCCTGCCTCTAGGGAGCCAGTGCTGTTGGGCCCTGCCAGTGTGAGGCCAGATGGCATTCCGTTTTACAGCCTTTTATGATCTCGTTAGACAGCCTGGCTCTTTCATTTAGTGCTGGGGATCACGTTAAGTTTTAATTGGCACCATTAGTTCCCTCCTCATCTTCCTTTGCTATAAAACACTCACTTCCAATTTCAACTCCCTGGTCTCCCCCATTGGTTCCTCCTCCTTTGTCCTGTGTCAGCATCTCCACTTCTCCCAGCAAGGACCAACAGAGTTGGGTTTTCAGAAACTCCCTCCTGCATGTCCCCAGTCTTTGCTTCTAGAATGTGGGGAGCAGAGGGTCCTCTCTGCCCAGGGCCCTGCCTGGCAGCCTTACAGTGCAAGTGTACACGTTGGTGTTAATGGAAAACTAAATCTAAAAACTATGCGTGGGTTTCAACTTTTTTTTTTCTGGCACCAAAATGAGTTTATCTCTTTAATTCCATTCAGCCACAAACACTCTGAAGTTCTCTTATGCTGAGAGCTCCATGCTTTCTCCAGTGTCTGAGCAGAAGTGCCAGCTGCTTGCTTAGAGACCTGTGGAGGAGTCGATGTCACCAGCACTGGTTTCAGTTGAAGGCTGGAGGCGTCCTTTGTGGACGGTCATCATACGGGACACTCCTGCTGAAAAACAGCCAGCACCAGAGGGAAGTGGGCAACTCAGGGAATGCCGCACACTGAGCAGAAAGCTCATTGGAAAAGGTTCCCCACTCTGGGACTCCACTTAGGCCCCATTCTTGAAAGAAAAATGTAAAACATACCACAAGATGGGAAACATGTTCGCAGCCGATAGGGTTTAGGGACTGGGAAGGGGGCACGGCCACGGAGGCCAGTGCTGCATCTTAACTGTGGTGGCTACACACAGCTTCACACACACACACACACACACACACACACACACACACACACACATTGTACCAGTAGGTTTCCTGGTTTTGAAATTGTGCTGTAATCATGCCAGATATTCCCATCCAGGGAGGCTAGCTGAAAGGTACATGGAACCTTCCGACACTTTCTTCACAACTTCCCATGAAGCTACAATTATTTCACAATAAAGTTTGTCTAATTGCCTTTCTAAACCCACAAGTCCTGAGTGCTGAGATTCTAGCTCAGAAACAGATCATGAGAGAGGATGGAATTTATTATGAATCTATCTACTATGTATTTGAAAGGCAAAGAGACAGACAGAGATGTTTCCTCTGCTCTTCACTCCCAGATTCCTGCGAAAGCCAGGCCTGGGCCAGGCCAAAGCCAGAGCCAGGAACTCAATCTGTCTCTCCCATGTGTCCCAAGTGGTGTCTGGATGGCTACACCAAATGCCTGCCCTGTCAATTTATATCTACCTGAAGAAAGGTGTTTGAGAGAGGGATCTTCCATCCACCGATTCAATCCCCAAATGGCCTCAATGGCCAGAGGTGAGCCGATCCAAAGCCAGGAGCCAAGAGCTTCTTTTAGGTCTCTCATATGGATGTAGGGTCCCAAGCACTTGAGCCATGCTCCACTATTTCCCTAGGCCATAAGCAGAGAACTAGATTGGAAAGTGCAACAGCCAGGACATGAACCGTCACCGAAATGGGAAGCAGGCTCTGCAGTTGGAGGCTTAGTCTTCTGTGCCACTGTGCCAGCCCCTAAAGAAAGGCTTTCATAAATACAGGTAACACACACACACAACTGACCAGAAGGAGTGATTTGTCATTGCACCAGTATTTGAGGCATTTTAAATCCCTCTTCAGGAAACATTTTGTTTCTCTGGCCATTCTTAAGAGTTCTGTGTGGGGGAGTTGAGTGTTTGTTTTTAAAGATTGATGTAATAAGAACAGCAGAGTTATAGAGAAGAAAAGGCAGAGAAAGAGATCTTCTGTTCTCTGGTTCATTCCCTGAAGGATGGCAGCAGCCAAGGTGGAGCCAAGTAATTCATCCAGTCCTTCCATGTGGGTGCAGGGGTCCAAGCACTTGGGCTATCTTCCAGTACTTTCCCAGGCACACTAACAGGGAACTAGATTGGAACTGGAGCAGCTGGGACTTGAACCGGTGCTCCGGGGGAGGCTTAACCTACTGGGCCACAGCACCAAACCCCAGGCTCAGAGATCTGTGGTATCTTTGCGTTCTTGGTGTTTGTCTCCAGTGTCCAGTGCGTTTGCTCTCCATCTTTCCCATCCATCCTTTCCTTTGGTGAGCCACAGTTCAGCCAGCATTGAGCATCCGGAAGTAACTCTGCATCTAGAGGATTCCATCTACTTGCAACACATCTGTTTTTTCTTCATCAACAATTTCAGATTCCTTTCTCTATAACCTTATTAGAGAAAATAGCTACAAAGCCACGCAGCTGCTGTGTTTTGCTGCATGCATGTGCTGTATTCATTGATGGCAACAGGATTGTAAACACACTGATTCTGTAGAAGAGTGCATATGTGTGTGTGGGTGTGCATTCACAGGTATGGGTGGTCGCTGTCCAGGTGCAGTGACTTCACTTCCGTGGGTTTGATAAGACCAGAAGGAGGAGGCCTGGTGGGCATCGGGTCTCACTACCCCATGTTCCCCACTCCTCCTTGTGGCATGGATGAGGTGAAGATGAAGGCAGACCCAAAGTAGGCCCATGACAGGACCGCCATGCCCAGAACCCACAATCACCCCAGCACTCATTCTGGAGGCTGAGGGATGCTATGGGAGGGACAAGCCTGGCTGGCAATTCCTTAGGCGACAGTCACTGCTTCCCAGCGGCATTCAGACTTTGTCCACGAACTTCCCAAACGATTACATTTGCCACCCAGGGATGAGGCATTTCCACTTTCCTAGGGTGAATATGGAGGCAGAAACACTGCACAGCAGCAGCCAGGAGCCCGAGTTTCTGTTCCTCTTTGTGGCACGGGCCAGCCCCACTCCCATCTGGATGGAGACCCTGGTGGGGCCCAGCCACGATAAATACACGCCCCAACTGCACGGGGAAGCCTAGGCTTCCTCATTTTCTTACCATGAAATCTGTGACAGCCTCTGCTTGGGGCATCGTTGTCCAGGGGCCCTTCCTGTCTCAGGAGTCTGGGACACATGCCACGGCGAAGGAAAACCTTCCCCACTGCAGCAGGCGCACAGGACAAGCCGTGCTGGGTCCAGCTCTAAAGAAAGGATCATCTCCCCTTCTCTGTCCTCCATTTCTGCTTTACGTGGGAGTTTTAATAGGTTCCCCTCTGAGGATCGAGCAGGAATCTTTCTGTTGCTGCCAACAGGCACAGCTGCTAGACGTGGAACAAATGAATGTGGCTGCCCCCCACCCCCAGGAGCTGCTGGACACCACGAACTTTGGTGCCCTTAATCCTCAGACCCTCCAGAGCAGCCGTCTCTTCTCCCTCACATGGACTGGCAGCCCAGGAATGTCATATGAGTGTCAGATGCACAACTTGACAGCTACAGCAGTTGAATTGTGATAGTGGGCCAAGAATTCAGGCAGAGCACCAGGATAGGCCAGTCTGCCCAGAGTGCAGTGTGGGCCCCAGCTAGGTCCAGTCCACGACAAGATAGCAGCTGTATCCCTGGGCCACAGCTGTAGGTTTACCTTTCGTCTTCCCTTTTGGACTTTCTCTCAGAAAGAAGGAAAGAAGGAGCGTATGGATTTAATCCTGGCCCAAGCCCTTGGCCTTGCAGCACATAGACACTTGGCCAGTGCTAGACCAAGCCAGAGCCAGGAGCCACCTGCACACTGGCGGGGGTGGGGGGTCAGTGGAGGGCATCTGTTGTATCCATGAGGTCGACAGAGGCTTTTAAATAAAACCCTTTAAATTAAATCCTTCTCTGCCAGGAAGCCCTTGGAGGAAGTCTAGAGGCACCAGCTGCCTGGCTCAGGTAGTCCTGTGCTGAGGGCAGTCCTGCTGGGGCTATGGCTCAGCTACCATAATGATGAAGAAGAGGGCAGGGTGGGAGTCCCTAGCAGACCCTAGGTGTTCACAGGTAAGGAAGCTGGCGAAGGCAGCCAGTTCTCAGGGAGCCCAGCAGCATCCATCGGCAGCCATGCGGGGATGACCCACAAGGCAGCAGCTGTTGTCCAGGCATACACCTCAGGGCAGCATGCCCGGGTGGCCTCATGATTCTGGATTCCACTGGCACAGAAAGGGGGCAGAGGGAGTTCTGAGCCACTGGGGAGCATGTGCCTAGCAGGCGAGCACCTGCCCAGATTGCAGAGCCATGGCCTGACCTCCCGTGGCCTTGGCAGACAGCTCCAAGCCGGGTTGTATTGGGATGGCAGTTGTCGGTCCTGCTCTCATGATCCGCCCCCACCCTGACTCTTCTGCCCCGAGTGACCTCACCCTTGTGTGCCTTTGCTATTGCAGGCCTGGCACTGGTGCCAACAAAGCTCTGTGCTCACTACGCTTGGGACAAGGGCGTGCTGCTTCAGGCATGGCCAGCTGTTGACCCACAGTTCCTCCAGCAGCCCGATGTCGTCGAGATGGCGGTTCTGGTGAGTATCTACTCTCAGCCCCAGAGCTGGATGGCCAGCGCCTGTCCTGCCTGTGGCCCACACACCCAGCACAGTGGGAGGCAGTACCGTCAACTCTGCATGTCACCGCACCCCCACAGTGCATGATCATGAACCCCTAGGGGCCCATGGGGTGGGCCAGGCCATCCTGCCGGATCTGAGGACTGCACTCTTCACTCGGCTACCCCTGGGGTTGGTTGGTTTAGGGTCCAGGGATGTTTCAGTCTGTGAAAATGTTTATAATTTCTGTTGAATATATACCAAGATTGAGTCCAGATCATAGGCGCAATCATTGTAGATAATGTTTGAGCTGCAAACCCTCAAAATTAAAGAGGGCTCCTTGCAGGTGCACACGCTCCAGAGCTCCAGCTCAGGGCACCACGCTGGAGGTTGGATCCACGTGATGATCAGACCTCTCTCCCTGGGCCCCACCTATGGTGCAGAAATCAAAGCTGCAGATGCAGCTCAGTGTAGTCCACGTCCTCTGTTCTCTGTGCCCATGACTTCCTGCGCTTTGCCCGATCCAGGGACACAGGGGCAAATCCTCAACTTTTGGGAGCTGAGTGCCCAGGGGTGAAGGTCTGGGAAGCACTTGAGTTGTCAGACACACTGAAGACTCTATAGCCTTGGGGTTGAGGTGCCAGAGCTTGGCTCTGCAACCTCCTGCTTCTGAGTCTCACTTTTACAGAGCACTCCGTGACGCCTCAGCTTCCCCCAGTTACAAGCTGGAGAATGCCTGCCTTGTCCATGTGTTGAGAGAATGGGGTCAGAGGGGAGGGGATGGTGCCAGGGACCGAGGGCCAAGTACCGGTCTAGAGATGAGCTTAGCCTATGCACAGCTGCCCCATCCTTATTTCTGTGACACAGACGGGGCCTTCCCGCTTTCAGCCACTGTGGGGACGGGGAACCACATCATGAGGGAGAGGAGGGGTGGGGCTTTGGCTGCCGAGGAGCAGTAGCATTTCCCCCATGGAAACAGAGTGAGGGGCGGCAGCAGGAAGGAGCATGATTCCCAGCTGGGGTGGCACAGGAGAGAGAAAAATATATCTGGCTGTCTGGTTGCCACCACTTACCGTTGCCTTGGACAGGTGCCTTCACCCCAGGTGCCTAAAGCTGTCCCGTCTGTAAAATGGGGTGGGATGGGTTCATGCCTGTAAACTGCACAGCACGGGGCCCAGCCAGCAGGAGCCTTCAGCATTATTTGCCACCACAAGGCCAGCCTCACGTTGGGTCAGGGTGGCAGACGGGGAAGGAGAAGCCCACGTGGCTGGGGCACCTGTCAGGCACCAGTTGGAAATATCCAAGGCAGGAACATTCAGGCCTCCTCCAAACACAACAGGAGTTCCAGGCAGTTCACAGCCTCTCCAGCGACCACAGGTGCCTCTTCGCCTCTGGGCCCTTGAGGGTCCTGCCCAGTGTTGGCTTCCAGCTGGATTTCTGTGCCCACTTAACTGGCACTTCCCACCAGGGAGAGGGAGACATGGAGGAGAGTGTCCCAGGGCAAGTGTGGGAGAGCCATAGCCAGAGGTCACATGCCTGCTCCCAGAGTCCCAGCCGTGGTCCAGAAGGATCGGGATGAGCCAGCCAGGCTCGAGGGAAGCCCGGGAGCTCTCTGGGAGGATGAGGATCACTGCCATGCCTGAGCCCTGCGGTGAGAGGTTACCCTGCAGCAGGCGCCAGAGTAAGGCTAAGGAGGCCAGTCACTTCACCCCGTTGAGTTCACCTCCTACACTCTGGGTTTTAGGTTACAGTAGAGAAAACCAAGCTCGGCAACCCAGATTTTCTGAGTCTGCCCCCATCAGAGCAGGTGTGTCCCAGCCTGAGTGAAACCCAGAGGAGGCCTTCCCCTGGACACAAGGGAGCAGAGGCATGCAGACTGGCCGGCGATTCACTGCCAGGGAGCCCAGTATTCCTGTGGGTGTGAGGTCTCCTTCGAAGACTTAGCCAGATCAAGCACACAATATTGAAAGCTTTTTTTTAAAAAAAAAAGATTTATTTATGCATTTGTTTATTTACTTACTTGAAAGGTAGAGAAGGAGTGAAATCTATCCTCTGGTCTGCTCCCCAAATGGTTGCAGTGCTGGGACTGGCTGGCTGTGCAACTTTCTGGCCCTTATCCCATCCATGTCGCTGCACTGTATCCTCTTGGGAAGTAAGGTGCCCACTGCTCCCTGCCTCTCCTCTGCCACCTTCTCTTGGCAGCAGTGAGTTTTGGTGCCAGTTCATGTCCTGGCTGCTCCAATTCTGATCAAGCTCCCCATTTATGGCTGGAAAAGGCAGTGAAGATGGCTCAAGTCCTTGGGCCCCTGCACCCATATGGAAGACCCATAAGAAACTCCTGGCTTCAGATCAGCTCAGCTCTAGCCATCGCAGCCATTTGGGGAGTGAACCAGCAGATGGAAGATTTTTCTGTCTCTCCTCAGTAAATCTGATCTGCCTTTCCAATCAAAATAAATAAATCTTTAAAAATTTCTCACTGCCTTGCCTTCTCTTCCTCCTCAGATTAACAATAAAGCCTGCGGCAAAGTTCCTGTGCCCCAGCAAGTGGCCCGGGACCAGGACAAAGTCCACCAGCTTGTCCTCCAGAGTGAGCTGGGTGTCAGGCTCCTGCAAGGGCGAAGCATCAAGAAGGCCTTCCTGTCCCCTAGAACGGCTCTCATCAACTTCCTGGTGCAAGAGTGACAGCAGCAGGGGCTGCAGCTCCCACAGGGGCCACCGAGGAACCTCCTTCCAAGCCTGAGATGAGGGGACAGAGTCTGCTGGCCCCGGGGAGGGAGAAGATCACAGCACCTTGAACATGCCTTCGTGTTTAACTGCAGTCAACAGGGCACCCCTGGGCTGGGGCTAAGGAGAAATCTGAGCCCTGGGGGTCACTGAAGGGTGGTGGATGGCACCTGACCCCATGAGAAGCCACAAGAGACCTGGGCAAGGACAGGGACAGGAAGAAAAGAGAAGCAAATGGGAAGTACAGTGACACTCTGGCCACCCAGGAGGCTCTAGCTCGGCTCTGCCTGGGATACAAGGCTGGCCCGAGGAAGCACACAGGTTTGGGGGCATTGTGCCAGGCACTGCACCGGGAGCCATGCCTCCCAGTAGCGCTGGGTGGTCTCCTTGCCTGCAGGCCACATGAAGAAGCACTGGGCTCATGTTCAAGTACCCATATGTGGAGCTAAGTGCTGGGATCAGAACCCAAAGGCAGGGCGGGGAGGAGCTGTTCCCCTCCTACTGCCCAGGCTTCTTCCTCCCGGGCCGGTGGCATGTCCTGCCAGACCTGACCCATTCCGCTTCCAGACGGTAAGGAACAGCAGCGTCACAACCCCAACCCTGGGACGTGACATTTGCTGCAGTGAAGTGAAACTCAGCCTTGGGTTCCTCCCAGAGCCCGGCCCAGCCTGGCAGGAGTGCAAGCTCCCAGGTGGCCCATGTGGGCCACTGATGGCAGTGACTCCTCAGTTGGTGGAGCTGATGCCATCCAGGCACTGCCTCCTGTGGGGAAGTGGCCAGGAATGGACCCAAATCATCACCCCAGCAAGCTGTGAGGTCAGCAGCAAGGCACTCCTCCCACAGCTGGCCTGAGACACAGGGGAAGGAGCGGGGAAGCCAGCCATTCTACCATGCTGAGCGTCAGCGTTTTTCTGAAGCAGCCTGATAGGTGGTCCCTGCTGTGGTTCAGTGGTTAAAAGATGACTTTCAGAGCAGTCAAATGTTCCTCATCTGTTATTTGGGGACCCATGTGTGAGCTTGGGTTAAGCACCATATTCCAACTCTAGGGGTTAGTCAGGAGCAGCAAGGCTGTGGGCTGGGCTCTGCACGGAACATTACAAATGCATGTGGGACCTAATCTCTGCTGGACCACATTGGCTCATACACATCAGTAATGAGTTCGGTAATTCTCAAACTTTGCTCAGACCAGCTGTGTCTGGTTCCCCCACCCAGAAATTCTAATTGGTCTGGGTTGTGGCTTGGGCACCAGGAATCTTAGGAACCCCATAAGAGAGCAGTGCTGTGGCCTAGCAAGGCAAGCCACCACTTATAATTCTGTCATCCCATATCAGTGTACCAGTTCACATCCTGGCTGCTCTGCTTCCACTTCGGCTCCCTGCTAATGAGCCTGGGGGGCCAATGGAGAGTGGCCCAAATTCTCGGGGCCCCTGCTACCCTGGTGAGAGACCCAAATGGAATTCGTGAATTCTGGTTGCGGCCTTGCCCAGACCTGTCTGCCTATGGCCATTTGAAAAGCGAACCAGGGGATCGATTTCTTCCCTGTCCCTTCCTCACTCTCTACCACTCTGCCGGGAGCTTCTTCCAGGTCTCCCATGTGGGTACAGAGACCATCCTCCACTGCCTTCCCAGCCCTGGATCCAAGGAAACGGATCAGAAGTGGAGCAGCCAGGACCCGAACCAGCCCCTGGGTTTATTTCTGTTGGGAAAGTGAGAGAAGAAGGTTTGTGCTTAGTAAGGTGTTGCTCCACAGCCAGTGCTTCCACTGAAGTAGGCAGCTGTCTGCCAAAGAGAATGAAATTGTTCTCTGACTAACCTGGCACGGGTATCCTTCATCCCCACCTAAATAGCTTCGAGGAAGGGGTTAAGACAAACAAGATGCATGCCATCCGTGAAAGAAGAGGTAGCTAGCATCCCATGTATTCATGTTCTGGCTGCTCCACTTGTGGTCCAGCTCCCTGCCAGTGCTCCAGACGACCCAGGTGCTTGGGCCCCTCCACCACGTGGACGGAGTTCCGTGCCCCTGGCACAGTTCTAGCCCTTGTGGTCCTTTGCACAAGATACTTGCCTATCCCCATCTCTCTCTGTCACTCTGCCTTTCAAATTTAAAAAAAAAAATTTTTTTAAGTTGATAATGTTGAGAAAATAAGCAAAGTGGATTTTTTAATGAGTAAAGCAAAATACACATATAATCCCACTCATTTTTTTTACATTCTAATCCTTATAAAGAAAAGGAAATTCACCCACAATTCATTTGATTAGCGAGAACGCTACAAGTTATTTTTTCCCTTCTGATTACACATTTTCTAATTTTTATTGACCAGGAACTACTTTAATAATAGGAACACACCAATTTGGCAAAGAATGGTAAGAGCCCTTTCCCCTCGGTTTTTCTTTTTCTCACCATTGGAGACATCATGCTGCCCACTTAGCTGCTCGTTTATTCTGTATCAAGTGCAGGCCCATAGACAGAACTGGCAGATGCAAGGTGGCAGGCAGGAGCAAGCAGGAAGATAACAACGCGGTCATCTGGCTTGCTGAGGACCAGACAGGAAGTGACCACCCCTGCCCTCAATCTGGGCTCATTGTACTTGGGGCACCCCGTCCCCATATTCAATACAAACAGCCTGGTGCCACTGCCCTGTCACCCATCCCCAGGCAAAATTTAGCTCTGGAGTTAAAAGTTTCTCTTAACTGCTGGGCCCCACGGGTCAAAAGGTGACACAAGGCCAGGAGTTCGCTCAGTGCTTTGTGGAAAGCAGCTGTTTTGCCGGCTGGGTCCCTGCCTGGCTGCCAGTGTGGGCAGCCAAAGGCTCTCTGAGTTAGGAGAATGGAATCTGGGAGTGAGCAAACCGGGAATGCCCTGGGGGCTGGTGAGTGGGTGTCATCAGTGTTGGGGGGGGGGATAAGGAGCCCCCAGCAACCAGGACTAGGGTGTGACCAGTGACCCTCCAGGAGAACTGACCTCACCCGGGTTTCTCCCACGGGATGGAGGAGGGCTGAGGGATAATGAGCCCCTGGAGGGGAAGTGGTGACCAGGCCTGCTGGAACGCAACACCCTGACTCATCTTCCCACGCCTGAAGCCCTGAACTTGAATTCCAGTGCTGGCTGTAGGGCCTCCACGTGGAGGGGCCGAATTGTGACTTCCCGGCAACCACAGTACCGCTCAGCTGAGGACTATGAGACCAGATCCTGCTCTGAGAGCCCTAACCGCCAAGCCCACATGTGCCTGGAAAAGCTGGCTCTCCGCACACGGCACAGCTGTGGGGGCACGTCCCTGCAGTGCAGGGGCACCCAGCATGGGGGGGGGGGCGGCGTGTGGCGAGGGCTGGGCGATCTGAGCCGGACACTGGCCACAGTGCCTCCTCTGGGCACCATCGATGGGACCCAGAAGAAGCCAGCTTTGCTGAATGAGCTCGTGCAAGGTGCGGGAAGGGGGCAGGCCTGTGCCACGCCTGCTGTCATGGGAGGGCGCCCCAGCCGGGGTCTTTCTTTCCCTTTAACATCCTTGCCTAAATCGCGTGCCCTGCAGAAGATAAGCTGCGGGAGATCTGGTCTCGCCACCTGCCGGTAATGCGCTCCCCTGTCCCCGCCGACCCGCCATGCTCCAGCACCTCGGTGGGGAAGGGGAGCCTTGGGGGGTGGATACAAAAAGGGGTACTACCCCTACAGAGACCTCCAGGGTCCTCCTGGGTAAAAGCTCTCGAGACACAAGATCGCAATCTGCCCATCAAGCGCAGGGTATGCCTCCCAGGAGAAGCCCTCGAGGGGCACAAAGCAACGTCGCCGCCGCCGGGGAGGCTGGTTCAGCGGCGCCAATCCGAATGTGGAGGCTGCCGCGGCCCCCTCCTCTGCAGAGGGACACCCTGGCCGCTCCGGGTGACGGGCGAGGGAGGCGAGCACACCCCACTCCCCGTCCATCCCTCCGCCCGGTCCCCCGCCCTTCAGCACGCTGCTCGGCCTCTTTGCTCTCAGGCCGCAGCGTCTCCAGCCAGAGTCACCTCTCAGAGCTTTCCCTGCTTCGGGATCTCCTTGACGCCCCAGGGGACCAGAGCGCGGAGCTGTAAATGGAGGGCCCCGCGCGGCCGCCGTAAGCGACATAAAATCTCTGTGCCGGAAGCCCCGCCGCTCCGTTTCCTGATTCGTAGGCTGCCTTCATAGTGCAACTACACACGTACTTTAGCTTCCCGCACGCAGCTTTTGCAGCCTTTCCAGATTAATCGTTCCCGTCTCCCAAATGCTACCCTAAGCTCACCTTGAATCCTGGACGGAGGACCGCGGACTCTCATTTCCGCTACCTCCTAGTCTCCCGGCATTCCTCCGAAACGTCCCGTTGCCATGGCGACCGTACACCGCCAGACAGCGGTGCACAGGGCGTCCGAGTCGCGCGCGGGGCTTGGAGCTGTCGGCGTTTGCAAACTTTGCGCTGCTGGAGCGCGGCCACCTCGAGACTTGTGAGGGTGGAGAGCAGGGAGACGGCCGAGGGAGGCGGCCGGGCCGGGGAGGGTGGGGAGGAGGGAGACGGGGCCGCGAGCGCCGCTTCCTCGGGCGTTGTTGCCGACGTCCCTGTCAGGGTGCCCCGGGAAGGACCGAGTCTGCCCTCCCACCCGGCAGGGGTGCCTGGCGGCAGTTCTGTCCATTCCCTGGAGGAGAGGACACGTTCCCACAGGCTCTGCTACTGGACGAGAAGGGCAGTAACGAGCGAACGTGAGGTGTGGTCAGGGGCTGAGCAGGCTTCCTGTACCTGGAAACCGAATGTCACCGGGCAGGGCTGTGGGCTCCGGGCGAGGGGTGCCGTGGAGAGGGTGACATTGTGTGCCCTTGGGACCCACCAGTGGCCGCCTTGAGACTTCCAGCCAAGAACCTGCCCTGTGCTGGGCATTGTTCTGGTGGTGGATTCAAGGGGGGAGAAAAGGCACAGTGCTTGTCCCCAGACAGCTTGTAATGAGGCTCCAGCAAGCAGTATGGGAGGCTGGGCAGGATGGCACAGGCTTCCCAGCTGAGGGGCAGTTCCCCAGGAAGACAAGTGTGGCTCATGGAGAAGGCTCAGCGTCGGTGGGCACAACTCCAGGCATGCCCAGTGCCTTAGCCTGAGTATGAAAAGGGCCTGGGGGTGACTGCGTGTGCAGGTGCCTGGTGACAGTTTGGCAGGCGAAGGGCCAGGTCCTGAGGGGAGGGCAGTTGCTGGACATTCGTGCCACTCCGTGCTGTTGTGGATTGATGGCTTCGGGGAAACAGATGGGCCTCCTGCTCCCCCAAACTACATTCCTCATGGTCTTGCTTTCATGGCACCCTTGAAAGGCAGAGACAGGCAAAGAAAGGGCTCCCATCCCCAGCCACCCACAGCAGCCAGCCCAGGAGCACTGGGCACAGTCCGAGTCCCCCAAGGGGATGGGAGGGACCCAGCACGTGAGCTGTCACTATTGTGTCACAGGATTAGCCAGAGCCTGGAAGGAGAAATAGAGAGACACTTTTTTTTTTTTTTAAGATTTATCTGAAAAGCAGAGAGAGAGAGAGATCTTCCATCTGCTGGTTCACTTTCAGATGACTGCAGTGGCTTAGGCTGGGCTAGGCAGAGGCCAGCAGCAAGTCTCTCAAATGGATACAAGGCCTAAGCACTTGGGCCATCATCCACTGCCTTCCCAGGCACATGAGCAGGGAGCTGGACAGTTGACTGCGATCTGGGCATTAACCCAGCTTAACCACTGTTACATGCACATGCTTAGCCACATGCACATCTCACTAATCCCTCTGGTAGCGTCTCTGCTTGCCTCTGCCTCATTGTTGCCTTGAGATGGGCCCTTGCATCTATTTCTCCCCTTCTCACTTTGTCCCTCTGCCTTTCGAAGAAATAAAATCTTTTTTTTCTTTTTAATTTTACCTCCCTACCACTTGTGTTTATAAACTTCCATCCTATCCCATGAAGCCACACTATACATTTATTTTAGTGTTTTATTGTACTTGTGCATCTGGTAGTTATCCATGGTGGTGTCAGTGGGAAAGACAGGTGCACCTGTGGCTAGCGGAAAGGAAATAATGAAACCATAGTACAGCTTCAGACGCGAGGGCTGTGATCTGTTTTCTGTCGTTGGAATGAGAGGAGAGCACACTCAGTTACAGGCTAGATGAAACACATCATGGGGAGTCTGTCTCTGAGCCAGTCTGGTGCAAGAGGGGCCCCGCTTCCTGCTGAAGTGTACCCTAGGAGGAGGCAGAAGCCAAATGTGTTACTGAAGGAGAATCAGTCCTAACCTAAGTAGTCGTTTTTTAGAAGAAAGTGTAGTAAATCAAGCAAAACATACCTAGATTCACATCAGAGATAGAACGTTTGTAGAAACAGCCTCCCAGGCTAGGCCACTCAGAGGAGTGTTCTGTTTGCTCTGTGTTCAGGTCTCTGAGATCATTGGTAACAGCAGGTGATGCAGCCCATAGAATGGGCCATACAGGTCCTTGCTGAGCAGTGTCCCATGCAGAGCCCTGCAGTGCTAAGGGGCAGACAGGAAGATGCTCCTTGGGGTGGGAAAACGAGGGCTGCAGGTGCCTTTCTGGTATTCTGGTGCTTACAC